GAAATACTTTCACACATGAAATAGATGATACTTTGGCTCTACTTTGACTCAAATCAATGCTAAATTAATTTCTAGAAGTGTATAGAGACAGACATGCTGTGGAGTATAAATCAGGTGGATTGTTATGTAAAGAGCCAAGCCGTCCGGGGCGCGCTAACCCGATTAAGCCAATCGCCTCATAAATTTTCGGAAGCGGAATCGCAAGCAACTCCTGCATCCCAGTCGTCGTGGGTCTGTCCAGCGACCCTTTTGTGATTTATTCATCCTTTGTGAATTAATCCAATACATCTAAACTTGTGGCGAGGGATTTTCAACTTTCCATTCCCCGCAATGGCGCAGAACAATGCCGCGTCCAGGAAGCGGCGCCGTGAGCCGGTCAACGTCGACACCAAAATGGTCGAGATCTATGAAGACCTCGCTAATGAGAAGGACGAGATCAGATTGAAGGCTGCCCAAGCCCTGGTATCCCAGTTCACTTCTGACAAGAACCCTGCCGATGAGCAGATCAAAAAGACTTTGCAGAGACTCTTCCGTGGTCTCTGCAGTAGTCGCAAAGCCGCCAGAATTGGCTTCTCTATTGCATTGACTGAGATTCTTTCTCAGGTCTTTGGAGCTCCCCGCGACTCATCGGAGCTGAATGTTTCTACTGTTATGAACATCTGGGAGTCGCAGTCTAGTGCGTCTGGTAGTGAGTCTGGTCAGGTAAATACATCCTTAACTAGGTCACATGTTATTCTACAATGCAATGCTTACTCTGCCCTACAGGAACAAAGAGACCACCATTTCGGTCGTCTGTTCGGTGCTGAGGCCATTATCAAGTCCTCCATCTTGTTCAAGCCCAATGCTCCATTCAACGAGTGGACTAAGCTCCTGGACCTGGTGTTTGAACTGGCCAAGAAGAAGCCCTGGATTCGGGAGGAATGCGGCTGGATCATCTATCGCTGCGTTTACGAACTTGCGGCCCAGAAAGCCGACGTTAAGTTCCTGGAATCCGCTCTTGAGCGTCTGTGCTCGAACGACCTTGCACGTACCCCAGAGGGAGTGGCCATCTGGCTCGCTGCCAAGGACCTGTTCCCGAATGCGAAGTTCCCCAGCAAGGTCTGGAAGCATGATGATCCTTTGGACGCAAAGGAAAGAAATCAGCTGGCCAAGGTCATGAAGGAGTCTTCCTCTGCCGATTCCGAAAGTGAAGGCGGAAACAAGGCGAAGTCGTCTGGAGTCTGGAACTCGAAGCTTCACTTTGCCTGGGATACTGTTATTGGCAGACTTGCCGATGCCCCGACAAAGGAGAGCAAGTCGAAGGGTTCTTCATCTCGGATCAGCTTCGCTGACTTTTGGACTGAAGTTGTCGACAGTGAGTTTTTACCTCATTTGCGGTGTTACCTATCTAACAAAGTTGTCCAGACGGTCTCTTCGCCTCATCTTCCTCAGAAGAACGTAAATACTGGGGCTTCCTCCTGTTCAACAAGGTTATCAACGATTCTCCCCTGAACCTGGCTTCCTTGGTGTTCACGAAGAACCTCGTCAGATGTCTGATGAATCAGCTTGCTGTCGAGGACAGATATTTGCACCGCATGGCCGTGAAGGTCGCAAAGGCTGTGCAGGCCCGCGTGTCCAAGGAGCCCGAGTTCGCCGCCGCTTCTGTCCGTGGTCTCATGGGCTCAACCGGGTCTGTGAACTTTGACCAGGCCACCAAGACAAAGACCGTGGAGAAGATTGTCGCTGAAGCCAACTTGGACGCTCTGAAGCAGATCGTTCCGCTCTTCGAATCCCTCATTGCGTCTCCCGGAACGACTGACAGCAAGGCTGCTGCGTCGAGCCGCCAGTTCTTGGCCGGTCTTCTCCTGTCCATTGTCCGTGCCCGGGCTTCGGCCAGTGACGACGAGGATGGTATGCAGAAGATCCTTGAGAAGATCCTCTTTGCTTTTGTTCGGTTCGCCTACTTCAAGCCCTCGGAAGAAGGTCGGGACCAGTCCGTCACCCCCCCTGTGACGGAGCAAACACAGGAGCTCTTTCGGAGTCGCATCAACTCCTGTATCAACAGTCTCATCGCTACGCAAAAGTACGCGGGCGTTCCGTATGTTGTTGTTCGCCACATCCGCGATGCAGTGAAGTCTGAAGAGCACGGAAAGTTCATCATCAACATGGATGGCACTATCCAGGACGCTGTGAAGAACGCCTTCAAGTCGCTGAAGAAGCTCGCCAACCTGGTAAGTTTATCGTCGGCCTAACCATCATTCATTACTAACTCAGAATAGGAGAAGGGTGACAAGGCCAGCATTGATGCCTTCAAGCTCCTGTACTCTTTGACCATTCTCCAAGTGTACAACGGCGACGCCGATGCCGCCTCCATGCTGGAGGAACTCGACTTCTGCTACACCAAGATCTTCGGCGACAAGAAGTCCAAGAAAGAGGAAACCTCGGACGCCTCGGACGCTCTGGTGGAAATCCTGCTGAGTTTCGCATCCAAGCAATCCCAGCTTTTCCGCCGCATGAGTGAGCAAGTCTTCGGTGCTTTCGCGGACAGCATCACAGAGAACGGCCTGGAGTCGTTGACCTCGGTATGTCCAGACACCCCCTCTACATGATCCCCGCTAACACCCCCTCCCAGATCCTAGAAGCGAAAGAAAGTCTTGCCGGCCAGCAAGAAATGTTCGACCAGCAAGACGACGAAGGCGATGAGGACATGATGGACATCGACGGAGAAGACGACAGCGACGTTGAAGTCATCGACGGTGACGACAACAACGCCAGCGATGACGACGACGATGAAGAAGAAGAAGACGACGACGACGAATCTACCGGCAACGACTTAGAAGAAGCGATCTTCGAAGCCAAACTGGCCGAAGCGCTCGGCACCCACCGCGCCGACAAAGACCTAAACGAAGACTCGGAAGGCTCCGACGCCGACATGAATGACGACGAGATGGAAGAAATCGACACACAACTCGTGAAGGTCTTCAAAGCCCGGCGCGACGCCCTCGGCCAAAAGAAAGACAAAAAGGACGCCAAAGAAAACATGATCAACTTCAAGAACCGCGTTCTCGACCTGCTCGAAATCTACGTCAAGAAATGCCACTCGAAGATCCTGGCGCTCGATCTCCTCTTGCCGTTGTTGCGCCTTACCCGCCGCTCCACCGTCAAGCAGATCTCTAATAAGGCTGCCAACGTGCTCCGCGAATACACTAAGCATTGCAAGGGCGCCGCGCTGCCGAAGCTGGACGAGATCGAGCCGGTCTGGGAGCTGTTGAAGTCGATTCATACGGAGGCGACGCATAGTGGACCGCCAGCGCATGCGTCGGCGTGCAGTCAGGCTAGTCTTTTGGTGGTGAAGACCCTGGTGGCACATGATAAGGAGACGATTGCTGGAGTGGTGGATGTTTATGGTGAGACGAGAAAGGCGCAGTTGATTAGCAAGAAGTGTCATGTGCAGCCGTCGTTCTTTACGGATTGGAATAACTGGTGTGTGTCGAGTAGTAAGCAGATGAAGAATTAGCTGCTGCTGCTACGGAGGACTTTCTCTATAGATGGCTAGTTAGATTGATTGGGACCAGTCCCAATAGCAATGTAATATATACATGATCTCTCTACTACTATTAAGTTATAGACATCACATCACAATTACCACCATCAACCCAGTACACCTAGTCTTTTAAAAGCCCTTGATATACCGATGTCCATCCGTAACCTCCACAACCTCAAACCCCATCCCGACCTCCACCCTCCCCTCGTGCCTGGGCGCACTCAACATCCCAAAACAAGGCTTGAACTTGATCCCCTCATCCACACGCCTATACTTCATAAGCGTATCCCACGGCTGCCGACCATGCTTCTCCGCCGTATCGGGGTCAACATTCGGAACCTGACACCTAGCGCACCTAGCCACGACATCCAATTCCACAGCACCCCCTCCTTTCTTCCCATCCTTATTACCTACAATCCTCACCACCTTCCACGAATCCTCCTCCCACGGCACATCTCCGGTAACCACAATATTCGGCCTAAACCTCTCAATCGTAATAGGATCATTCCCACCCTGCACCAACCGCCCATTCAACTCCTCAATCGACGCCACCGAGGCAATCAACACAGGATGCACATCCGGGAAATACGTATCCTGCTCTCTACCCAGAATCTCCGGGGCGCCGTTCCCACGCAGAATGCGGCGCTCCGGGCCCTTATACACTAACTTCACTTCTCGGCCGAGGAATTCACTGAACAGGGCATTGACGTCCGGACCATATGCATACGCATCCGTTACTGTGTCCCAGATAGTGACGTGTTCGAGGGTAGTGTGTTGCGCGAGCCAGGCGGGGGTGGGGTCCGTGGGGAGGGAGATCTCCTTGTCTTTGGAGAAGGAGGGGATGGTGATGATGAGGTGGGAGGAGTCTGGGGAGAGCGCTGTTGTGATAAGCGTCATGCGCGAGTCTTGTCGGATGGTGAGGAATTGGTTGGTTTTGGCGTCGATAAACATCCAGCGGCGGTCGAGGGAGAGGCCGTGCTTGTGCAGGGTTGTGTGGGGGAGGCGGATCCCCCGGCAGGATTTTATGGGGTAGATGTAGAGGGAGTGGATGGTGGTGGGTTTGGGGTGGTGGTGGCGGAGGAGGTTGAGCTTGTGTTTGAGGGTGTGGATGGCTTTGGGGGAGAGGAGGAGCGGGAGGAGGAGGATGGTGAGGGTGGTGAGGAGGAGGACGGTGGGGGTCTCCATTGTGATCTTTTATTTTTAGTGTTTTGTGCTGTTCAGTGTGTGTGGCTTTTAAGAATTGGTGCTTTCATTGCTGTGTGAGAGAGATTGTGTAGTGTGGAGAGAGGAAGTGGAAGAGGAGAGTTGAGACAAAGAAAGTTGGGAAAGGAATTGGCGATAAGAGATAAGATAACCGCAATAACCGCAATTGCCATACTTATTCCGCCAACGGGATATCATATTGTTACCGCGCTAAGTAATGGCCGCATAGCTTGAGTTGAGCTTGTTCATGTATGGCGTGAGAATTTAATCTAAATCGGTTCTATTCCTACACAAATACAACACCAGTAATAAATTGAAGGTGATCTTATACCAACACTCCTTATGCCCAAAATCTATGCGGCGCCAGGTGTGATGCGATCATAACCCATCAGGCGCCCACATGTATTCACTAATGCAAAATATGGCCAAAAAATACAGTACTCAGATAGAACCACCGATAAACCAAAACTGCTAGGACATGCAATGTCACAACTCCGAGAAGATTGAAAAGGCCATTCAGAAACTAGGGAGCGCTGTGCTGCTGCTCACTCCAGCTAGTCACAAGAGCCTTGATTAGCGCGACGGCAACCTCCTTGCCCGTCTCTATATCCTCATCCAAGCATGACGCGGGAACGTGGAAGAAGGTGACATTGCGATCCTCACCCGCCTGGTATGCCAGTGCCAAGCTGGTGTACAGGATGAACTCGCAGAGATAACGTCCGGCATCAGTGGAGATCCGCGCATCGGTTTCTGAGGGGCAGAATGTCTTCCATGCTGCTAGGAAATCTTCGTCCGGTGGACGGGGGCTGAGGTGTTTCTTCTCCGAGGCGCGTCCCTCTGAAGGGCCAGCCCTAAGCACCAGTGGCAAGTCGAGCTCCCTCCACAGCTTCTCGCCATCCTCGTACCCGGATCTGCCTTTGATGTCGGACATCAGATACCCATCACGGTGAGCCTGCGTCTCCACGGAATAGTAGTTCCTCATCGCTGCTATGCCAATGTGTATGACAATGTCTGGGCGTCGGCCTCCGTGCGTCTTGGCATAGTCATCGAGAATGACAGGGAGGGTCGTCCGCACCGCTGAATATGCAACGGGTATGGGTGAAGGATGGACATTTATCGAAACTCGACGGGGAACAGCATCAGAGCCGTCTGAAGATGCAGGTGAGAAGGTGAAAGAGGGTGGTAGGGACGAGGCTATCAGATATGAGGCGTTCACTAGATTAGACTTGAATGGCTGTAGAACATGTGAGTTGCGATATTGGGAGAATGGTATGGACACGAGAAGCTTACCCCAAAGCCCGTTACAAGGACTGAGATCTCATCCTGATCTGTTTCAGAGACAGGCGGATTTCCAGGTAGCTGTGCCGTGAGTGACGACACTCCGGGGCCGTAATCTCCCATGATAACCAACTAGCTATCCCTACAAAAATACCAAGAAAGAATGTTGCGATCAACGAAAGCCAGTCATCGAAAAAGAGCAAGTAGCGAGTAGCAAGCTCGATGCGACCGGCCTCCAAGCCACCAAGGTCTAGAAAGTCAATCGAGGCGATGAGGTTGTAATGAGAAAGAGGCAGGCCAGTTGGGACTTGAAGGGCAGCTTTCCCCGCATTGTCTTGGCGTCACGAGATAAGCCTTCGTCACATCGTGTCCTTCTCGCCGGCCGCAGTCTTTTTTCCTGCTTCCGTGTCTCCCTGGGTTTTCATTGCTGTCTCCTTCGATGATGAGGAAGTCTGCAAAATCTTCCGATGGCCATTGTCAGCTGTTTGGATGCCATCAATCTCCAATGACTTTCCGTATATGGACCGGTCGCGGTTGATCACCCGCACTTAGTTTCTGGTCCCTTTGAATGGCTCTCGGTCGGGGTGGACTTGGACTTGTGTGACTGGAATCAACTCATGATGTGCACTCACGAAAACACAGACACATCCGATACCTGGCGATACCCTCCGAACCTTAAGTCACATCTGTTCTTGTCAACGAGGATTTGGGGATCGTGTCACTTCAGGTGTTCAGGCATCCCCCGCGATACGCCAATACGGGGGTCCCAAAGCGGTTTAGCGTGTCCCCGGACGGAGGCAAACGAATAAACGAACGGACAAATCGAAGCATTCCATAAAGCCAGGCTGACGATGTAGTGGAATGGGCATTCAACTAAACAGACGAGAACAGGTCGCGGTCTTACATAAAGCACTGCCACGGCTTATGCTTAAGATAGAGCTGGCTAGAACAGCCAGCTGGCTTACTCTGACTGTGTCTGTGCCGTAATCCGTCGCAAAGCGAACGGATCCCAACCACGAGTCGACGGGGGTTTCCAAGCGACATTCCTCCTTGGGTAACAGCAGTGTCAATCACCACTCGGCGAAAGGGAGACCCGATATCCATCCCTCGTCCTGGGTCGCCCAGATGGTTCATTCCTTCCGGCCCACCTTGTTGCTGTCAATGAGCGGCCTTTCATTTCACACCCGATCGTCCCGTCGTATAAAGCGTATTCGAGGATCCATCCTCATAGACAAGGATGGAGTGGAGAAAAGCCACTGAGATTTCGGTTGTTTCAAAGTATATATTTTTATAAGTAATCTGGCGGTTCCCAGTGCTGACTTCGACCGTGGTCTTCATTTTTACGATTTCCTAGGCGCCTTTTGCTACCCACTCCAGCAATGGCAGTCATCCTTGAGGTCCTCGATAACCAACACCTCTTGCAAGGTGTTGTACTGGCCCTGGTCTTGGTATTTGTTTCGAGTTTCTACCATGAAATAGCAGATAGTTTCCCATACAAGAATATTCCCCTAGTTGGGAAAGGTAAGTGGGAGATCACAAACACCAAGGCCAAGCACCGATTTGTTACATCTGCAAAGGAGCTCTTCGCCGAGGGTTTCAGTCAGGTATGGAGTGAACTATAATTCAGTAGCGGCGGAAGCTAATGTACTTGCAGGGTCGGAAAGCGTTCCAGGTCCATTTCTCGGCTAGGCCGACCATCGTCCTTCATCCAAGCCTAACAAACGAGGTCAAGAACAATCCACTTCTTGACTTCAATGAAGCAAACAAGAAGGTATGATACCGCTTGATAATGGGTATGTCTATGGAGAGATCTAATGTTCATGGGGTAGAGCTTCTTCGGATCCAAGATTCCTGGATTTGAGCCGTTCGATGGATTAGATCATGAGGGCATTTTCCTGGAGGTGATCAACAAAAAAATTACTCAAGGGCTTGGTAAGGCGACCCTGTGGGAATAATATCAAACAGAACACTGACTTTCTTGCAGGGCAGCTGACCACTCCACTTTCAAGAGAGACTATTGCAGTTTTAAATGAGAAGCTTCCGGACTCTGGGGGTACGTGACTCACATTCATGGGGGACTGTTGACCTTCTAACAAGCGATAGAATGGCTTCCCTTCACCTTTGCACAGGAGATCCCCCATATCGTAGCTCGCCTGTCCTCTCTCGTGTTTCTGGGAGAGAAGATTTGCCGCGACAAGCAGTGGTTGGACGTTTCCGTCAATTATACCATCCATGCTTTCGTTGCTGCTCGTGACCTCAGACTTTACCCTACGGTTCTCCGTCCTTTTGTCCACTGGTTCTTGTCGTCGACTCGCAGGACCCGGCAAGACATTCGCGTCGCTTCCGCCATTATTAACCGTGAGGTAGAAAAGCGAAAACTCATCCGGGAAGGCAAGCTTCCTGAAGAGGACCCTCCAAGGACGCACGCAGACACATTGGACTGGTTTGAAGAGGTTGCTGCGGGTCGGCCGTTAGACCTCGCTGTGGCCCAGGTCGGCCTTTCTCTGGCGGCGATTCACACGACATCTAATCTCCTCACGAATATCATGTACGACTTGACAGCCTACCCAGAGCACATCCAGCCACTGAGAGACGAGATCAAGGCCATCATCAGTGAAGATGGAGGCTTGAAGAAGACCAGCCTGACCAAGATGAAAATGATGGATAGCGTGCTGAAAGAATCCCAGCGAATGCACCCCGCCGGCGTTGGTAAGCACTCGACCCAACCTCTCTCCCGATACCTAATGAAAGACTTTCATCTGACATGCTACCAAAGCCTTCATCAATCGCGTCGCCATGGGAGATATTACACTCTCCGATGGCACCCGCATTCCCAAGGGTGCCAGCATAGCAGTTTCGGCGCACAACATGGAGGATGAAACCCTCTACCCGAACGCGAAGACGTACGATGGCTTCCGATTCTACAAGAAGCGTCAAGAACCCGGCAATGAGCACCGGTTCCAGTTCGTGACAACCAGCCCGGAGCATCTCGGCTTCGGACACGGCATGCATGCATGCCCGGGACGCTTTTTCGCCTCGAACGAAGTGAAGATTCTCCTCATCCACTTTCTCATGAGATATGACTGGAAGTTCGCAGATGGCCGCACAACGCGACCGATGAACTTTATGCACGGAACGGAGTCGATTTGCGATCCGACAGTGGAATTCCTGTTCAAGCCCCGACAGCCAGAGGTTGATCTGTCATGATCCATCTCTTAATCTCAAGCGTGTATATACCAAGTCGACCGGTACAGAGTGCTGTGTACATACTAAATTGCCTATATTCGATCAACTCGATCGACCAATCAGAACCACATACACGATCGAAACAAATCTAAGACATATCTCAGCAGATCAAGTGCCTTATGACATGATTTGTTTTGCTTTTCTTCTTCTTTCCAACGGCGTCTCCACATGCACCCAAGACAAGTCAGTCATATGCAGCGAGATCACCAAGAAAAATCCAGTTTTGAAGCAAGGGATGAATGTGGCGACGCTGACGAGGAATAATACCGCACCACACTACTACAAAACCGGTTCTGTTCTTGATACACACACTGCATTTTTAGCTTGTGATTGATTTCATTCGTCATACTTTATGCTATTGTTCATTCCTAACACGGATGTGGCGGGTGTCACTCACAGAATGAATCATGCTCTAGATACATACCTACCGAGGATGAAACTGTTCCCAGGATTTGCGCTGTTTGTTTTTGTCTTACCTGTATTCCTAAAAGGGTAAGCAGTACGCAAGAACATGAACCACTGCACTGCATTAACTGCAGATGCAGGTGCAGGTGGCTAGACCGCTTACGTGGGTAGATACTATTAAGCCATAAGTTAATTCGACAGGTAAGTAGGCAGTATGCTGTGTACTCTCCATACAGGGTAAATAGTGCATAGCGCAGATGCACACAACGGTAAGGAGATTGCGGTGTAGAACCGAACCATAGATGGAACCGAAGTAAGCCTGTAGGTTTCTTAGGGCTGGCTGGATATGATGTGAGAATAACCAACTAGTCTGAGGCAGGTGGTGATATGTTCTCTAACACGTTAGTAGATAGAGAGCTACTACTTACCTAGAAGAATAACAGGATGATACAATTAATAACCTGAAAGGGACACAAGATACTAATGCTCACATATTCCATAGTAATCATTGCAAGCACTGCAATACGTTAAAATAAATCAAGTATACACGAGCAGACAAGAAATTATAGGTAGTTACCAAGTGCTAACTGAAATAATCACATCATATAAACTAAACGAAGGCGTTCCTGAAAGGAAACCCACGAACCATGGATTCAGCGAAAATCAAGCTTAATTCTAGCCTAACAACCTACCACAGTTCAATAGCGCCCAGTAGCTGCTAGTTCCCGATTCTCAAGTCAGCCACCTAGTAGCTGTTTCCTGGAATTGTTACCTTAGGCACCGCTACTAGCTAGCTCTAGAAGAAATTAGAGTAGCATACGGTATACGCAGAAGCAAGTACTGCGCACGCCAGTGTACGGATATGTCGAGCATGGTTATCTTCAATGTTATTTCATGTTGGGTTGGAATGTACATATACATTTGTTCAGTAGTATTCGATCAGGTATTGCATGGTACGAAGAACTAACTATACATAGGTAGGTAGGTAGGTAGAATCTATCCATATTATTGAGATAGTAGTGAGTTGTGGTTATTTGTTACTGACACCATTTCCCATTCTGTACTCCGTACGATTCATGGAAAGAAAATCCAAAGAAAGGTGGGTGGCTGGGGATCATGTTATTGTTGTTGATGAATGGAAAACGGTAGTAGTTAGTTACTATGGTAGTACCATCATGCAATTGCAGATGTCGGGATTTAGTTAGGTCCGTGGTGAAATAGTACTATTATCCACTTTGGTCAATCCATCTTCATGTGTCCCACAGTATTAATGTCAGTTTATAGAAATAGTTAACAGCGATATCAATAGACTACACCCTAAAAGGCAACAACTCCATCGTTCACTACTAAATATAACACTGTGTGTGTGCTATAATTATAATATCATCAGTGCTTTCTGAAAATTTTCTGTCCGTGTGAAGTCTCCATCCCCAGCCATCTGAATTACTATTTCTAGGACTTTTGATTGATGGAGTTGGAAACTAAGAATGGTAGTGTGGTCTAAAGTATAGCACGACGATACTAAGAAAGAAGTACACAAAAGTAGTGGATTTAGCCAGGAACAATGGAAAGTTCCCCGGCGCAGGGCGCTAGTAAGTCAATAACGGGCGGTCGCGGCGCTGACTGGCGGGAACTGAGACCAATACAGTCACTTACCAGACGCGCGGATCCGCGTGTCAGACGCGTTAAAGTCGCGTTTACCCCGCCTTGACGCGTTTGGGGGGGCGATAAGCGAAATGATTGACATGAACGTGCTTCAATAGAAGGTGATGAGCTGCCCGGTCTTTGTTTGCGGGAGAGATTTCTTTCAGTAGAAGGGGAATTACGGCATTGAAGCGCGTGTAGAAATAGAGGACTACGGAGTATATAGAAATAAATAGGGGGGGGGGGGGGGGCCACTTGTGGATTGAGGTCGTAAGATGGTAAAGAATATTCCACACTATGACTCTTACTTTCCTCTGTTTGATCATTCTCGGGCCGCCCGCGAGGCGGTTTGAGTCGTGCCTTCAATTCCATGCCCAAGCTGGGCAAGATGCTACTGGTTGATGGGCGGTGGTGCTAATGCATGCCCAGTGCGTCGGGGTTCGATTCGCCCAGGCGGTGGAGAACCGCTTCTGCAGGTGACTGGAGTTCATGACCATGATCAAATTGATCGAGGTACTCGAGGCCACCTTGCTGAAGCACCGATGGGACGCCCCCAAATTCCTGGTTCGCCAACATTATTGCTTGGGGGGCGGGAGAGAAATGGATTATTCTTATTTTTTTTTTCTCTTTTATCTATTTGCTCGCACCTCTCTCCCAGCCACCCGGAATGAATTTGATCACACGGTCCGCCATGGTGAAAGTCGGTCTTGCTCGCTAGAGAGCTTTGCGTGTAGATCGATGGGGCCACAATTGATGAAAAAGGATCAGGTAGGTCGTTTTTCTCTTGTCCTTAAGGTGAGATTGCTGCTTAGTGTGCTGGTGCTACCGGGTGCACGGGAATTGTGATGAATCCCAAGGCAATGAAGAGAAATAATTGGAGAACATCGTCAATGGTCAAGTGAGCCATCTGCACTCGGTCTGCATTGAGGACACCTTCTCGGTACCCTTGCAGTTCACGGAGAAGGGGATGGGGGGAGGGAACGCAACGTTGCAAGTACAGTAACTCATGGATGAACGAGGCAATGCCCAGTCTGATTGATCTAGACTGGGAAGCTAAGCTATTACTGTTCTGGATCGCTGGTCCTGCAGCCCGTGCAAAAGGTACGGCAGACTGATGAGTCCAGTGTCCCCATATAAGAGATTAATTATGATTATTCTGGACTATCTTGTTGGGGCCACTGGGGCGACTCCATCAGGATGGCTGCCATTTGTCGACGGGCTGCAGGCGTGAATCCTCTGCCCGTCCCGAGGGATCGTTGGGCAACGCGGTGAGGCGGTTAGAGGGATTCAACTTACTATGGACCAGCCCCCGAGAATGAGAGGGTGTGAGAAAAGGTGACTGAATTTAACGGCCAATGTGTGAATGCTTCGAAGATTCTTGATCTGGATGGGGAGGATAAAAGAGTACTACTAGTTAGTCTCTTTCTTCGGTTGAGCCAACATTGGCCAGAAACCAGTAAAAAAGAATGACGGGGCAAGAAAGAGAGAAGGATTGGGAGGGAAAGATTTTGAGGAAGAATTCTGAAAAGAAAAATGAAAATCCAAAAAAGAAAAGGCTGCATGAAAAATAGACAAAAAAGAAGGCAGAGAATGCAGCTGAGTGGCTCACGAGGAAGTGCAGCATATCGACTTTCTCCGCATTCCTGAGCAGTCGCGACTCCCAATTGCCCTGCTGGGTTTTTCTTTTTCAATTTATCCCCAATTTTTTGATTAATTAATTTTTCTCTAGGTTTGATTAACGCTCACTTATGATGGCAATTGGCACCTGTGGAATTTGAGAATGAACATGGTTGCGGGTGTCACCCCCGACCTGTTAACATCATCCGCCTGGATGGTGTCTGAACAACGATCTCGATTAGCGAGAATAGGAAAGGCTCCCTGGTGAACAGCGCACCGGCGAGGCCACTTGGTGCCCTGATGGGCTTGACGTGGTGATCTCCGGGCCTGCTGGAAGGGCAGAAAAGGTGGAGCCAGAGGGAAGAGACTAGTTCAGTTCGTCCCTGTCGCGGCCACCAGAGCAGAGCAGAAGCAGAGTTCCGCTACCCAAAAGGCGCTGTGAACAGTTTAGTTTAGTTAGCAGTTAACTAACAGTTAGCAGAGTAGATGCTGGGGAGTTTAGTGAGTGTTCGCGGCTTCTTGCGCCTACCGCTTCCCTTTCCCTTCCCTCAGTCTGTGCCCCCCTCGGCTGTCTCATCCTCTCGCTCTCTTCCTCTTCTAACTAATTATTCCCAATTCTCCCTCCCTCCCCCCCGTTTATTTCCTTTCCCTCCGTTACTTCCCTACATCCCACCCCCTTCTTTCTCGACAGCCACGTTGTCGCTTCTCCTTTTTTCTCCGATCGAGCTTGTCGCTCGTCATCGACCATCCCTTCCGTTTCCTTTTCCTTTTCTTTTGTGTTGGTCTGGCGTGTTCGTGTGCCAATGTCGGCTCCCCATCTTCTATAGTTCCCTCCTCTGGGGTACCCGTTCGATGTGATCCTCTCGCAATTTCCCCCCCAAAAAAGCGCATCGCTGCACAACATCGTTGCGCGTCACATCGAATAACATACGAATTCGATCGCTTTCGCCCATCCGACCACTCACACCTCGACGTGTTTTTCCTTTTCTCTGTTTTGTTCCCCTCATCTCCTGTTACGACTCACGACCCCCCCATAAACCCTAAGCGCGCCTTGTCGACGACCCCCTCCTTCGGAGATCGATCACAGACGTTGCACCATTGACTGAAACGGATTTCTTTACTTCTATTGCTCTTGGATTGCTTTTCCTCCTTGCTCTCCCATAGTTGAGTTTGGTTGTTCTCTGTGAATAGCGTGTGCGCGCCTCGAAGTGGACAATACCGTGCGATCTAGGCTATCTCCGTCCGCGCGCTTAACTTGGAACGTCAGGCACCATTTCTCGCATCGCAATCGAGGTTCGCGACATGACAGTGGTATAGGGAAGTTGCATCATACTGTCAAGATAACGCACTTACCTACATACCACTTGTCCCCGTCTTCGCTAGCAAAGCGTCGTTGAACCGATACGGGACCTTGCACACCATGGCTTGTCGACCACACGGCCTATCGCGCACCCTGCCGAAGAACTTCACCTTTTCTTCGTCGGGCGAGCCTCGCACACCGGAGCGCGTCTCACATCACCTGGATGTGCCGCCGCCTCCCCCTCGTCATTCTAGTTGCCGCTTACGTAGGTCCCGCGTCCGCTCGGGGACCGATGTCTTTGCGCAGGCCGAATATGACCTCAGCACGTTCAACCCCAACCCATCCGATGTCCCTATACCCTCGATTGAAGTCCCTTCTTACGACGCTTTTGCGGGCTCCTCGTGTCCAGCAGTACCCTCCCGTGATGACCGTTTCTTAGCGCCGCCCCGGGATCGCCTGGCCATGAAAACACCTCCGGCTCAGATTCGCCCCGACCCGGTCGAGGATAACAATACCGCATCGTGGTCTCTGGAGGACCCGCAGGCTCTGGGAGAGAGTATTCAACGTCCTAGTTCCGTCTGCTCACAAGCATCGGACTCGTCCGTCTCCTCGATAGAAACGTTTAGCTCCCGGCGCTCGGCGGGTGGAAGCTGTACCAGCATGGAGAGCGACTCATACGACCCATTCTTCCACCTGGAGCTTCCACCAAAACCTGCGCCCGAGACGCCCTCTCTGTGTCGAACGCGCAATAAGAACAAGGCACGGATGCTGCACGCCAAGGAACGTTGGTCCCTGGACATGGACAACCATCTATGGAATACTTACCAGCTCTACATCCAAGACCCTACCATTACCCCTTTCAAAATGACTCCGGGCAGCATTCCGCCACTTGGTGTCACTCACCGTGTTGCCCGGGAGGCCAAGCGGACGTGGGAGAGAAGGCGCTTTAGACTCGACCGACAGTTTCCCTTCACGCTCTCCTACCAACGTCCATCTAGCAATTCTACTCCCACTCCCAAGGTTGATGCGGTGAAGCCTACCTGGCCTAAATCAGAAGCCTCGACGCGGCGCAGGCTAAAACTACTGTGTAGAAAGAAGTTTTCGATTGCTCCCCACTACCAGAGAATGATGCAATCTCGGAGCCCGACGCCGTTCCTAGACTTGCTGTCCCAGCCGTCTGCAGAACCTTCCAGGGCTGTGGGCCCTGCCAATAGCTGCACGGCCTATGCGACGCGCGATCTGGGTGTGTCTCTCGTTTCCAGCTCCGTACCTGGGCCTCTGGCTCAGCTGGCAGCGGAAGACTCTTCGCCTCCGATGGGCAACGAATGGTTCAACAATCCCATACTCAGTGCGCCTCGCCAACTCATCCCAGAGCCACCTACAATACACCCTGGTAGTGCCCCTAGACTAGAGCCCGTGCCACGACTAGGATCGCCATTTACGTATAATACCTGGGGACCTAATGCCTCGAGAAAGCGACCTCAGCGTCATACCCCTAGGGCTCGGCGAGAAACAATCCATGTGACGGGCTCCCGGCTACGTTCTCCGCCCCGTATGGAGCCATTTCCGAACGTCGACCATCATCAACACCTGGCTCCGTATGTGGCCACTACCAGCGAATCGCCAGCGGAACAAGATACGCGGGTGCAGCTAGAAGACCTTGTCCGTCACGGAAAGCTCAATGATTTAGGTCAGCACCGCATACGCATTCGCAACCGTGGAGCCACGATAAGTTCAGTGAACCACAAAGGTCTCGACCAGTTGTTCTCCCCACCGTCGTCGTCCTCTCGGAACGACGAAGATACCATGGTCGGAAAACCCATCGTCAATCCTATGCTGAATCTCGGTGGCGACAGTATCAAGCGTTTGGGCTCCCCCTTCAAGGTAGAAACCCCCAAACGAGCCCAGCCGTCACCTAGGCGCATTCGCCACGCGCCGTCGCTCTCGGATCCCTTCGCAAGCGGGCTTATACCAACATTCCAGCCGACGAGTCCCAACAGTCAATCGAGGAACGAAGAAATGGCTAGTCGGCTCCCATACGATCCGACGGAGCAAGGCATCTCCGATGCAGAGCGCATTCGAAGGCAAATCTTGAATATGCCGTACTCGAGGCAATAGGTTGCATATCGCATTGTTAGAAGTCTGTTTCACCATGTGTCAACGTCACATCGATCTACTACACTAATGACCGGGATGATTTACCGTGATCTTGATCGCATTTGATCAAAGGATATAATGACAGAAATGGCAGCCACGAATTGATGACCTTGTTTTAGCCCTTGCTTACTTCTCTCGCGCTGAAACCATTGCATTTGTTGAAGAGCAACATTTCATGATAGGCGCGAAGAGGAGAGGCCACAATAACGAAAAACGAAAAAAAAAAAAAAAGTGCTTTGAAGTTGCTTCTACATGCATACGTTGCTTTGAGCGGTTCAGCTGTACACCACGGTGCTTATAAGGTGTACGAGCCAAGCTCCCAACCGCGACTCATTCAACCGAACTGGACCGTCGTTTTCCACGCAGTGTTCTTGTTCTCCTCTCTACTCTTGACCCATACAGCATGTTTGTCAGAACACTCTTTGGGGCATCGTGGAACCGGAAACGACAAATAGACCTTTTCCTGCCACCGAAGAATGTTTCGCAGACACTGTTGATGGTCATCACACTCTCTGATTTTCCTTATTCTTCTATCTCAATTACCGAACCCCATACACTCTTTGAACAAATATCGACAGTATCACAAACATTGCCAGAAACATCGAAAACCGAAAAAACCTACAAAACAAACCAACCCTGGCAACCCCACTATCTTTCAATCTCTTTTCATCTCTTTATCCATCTCTTTCTCATTCCTTACCATCGATTGAATACTCAACATTACCGTGCGATCCGTCTTTGATCTTGATGAACCTTTGGCATGCCCATTTTAGCATGCGCAGTGATGATTGGTATGGAGAGACGCCGCTATTGAATGAATGACTCATAGATGAAACGAATCCGCACGACTTGGCAGCTGCTTAGTGACGACGTCTTATGGAAAGCGCCCCATTGTCTTTGCAGCGTTTAGCTTTCAGTTTCAGCCTTGCTTTAACTGACTTGTTTTCGAACTTGCTTCATGTTCGTCCTATCTACAACTTACTGACTGACCATTACTTACATTGTTGTCTGTCTATCTGTTTAGCATGTCTTGCTCCAGTCAAGCATGTTTTGTTGGCTTTCAACTGTCTGCATCTCTCATTATGTCTCTTACTATCTCTATTTTTCCAAAGAATACATTTCTCCTTTCCTTTACAATATGTAAAAAAAAGATTTGATATCTGTGTGGTTGCATTGTAGCGCATTTATTCATTATAGCATCTTTGCATTGATCTGATCTAGTCCGGTCTTTAACAGTGAATGATAGCTCGTGGTAAATGGTGTCGAAACAATCAAGTTAAGCATGACGGGTCAACTAATCATCTCACTGCAGTGCACGTGTGGATGGATAATTGCAATACAAACTACTACATGACCCAGGCTATTAGCCTCTGCATCATCTTGAAATAGACACTACCAGATATTCCCTGTCTCTTCTTCGGCTATTCTTTCTCGTTTTATTCTTATTACAAGACTGTCCGTATCTGTCTCTTCCTGTAGAATAGCACATTTTTATTTATTAAGATTTGATGCCAAGATTTCTAGATAAGATCAACTTAACCCTAAATCAGTCCCTCCAGATACTTTCTCAAGACTATTAGGTATGACGTGCAATGTATGCAACTACAGTATGTATTCAGACCAAAGGCCACGATAAATAACAGACAAAGAACAAGGAAATAAGTACATATGTAAATATGAAACAACAACCCAAACGCCAACGCTGCGACTAAAACAAGGAAAAGACATGAGGGGGTATAAAGTGCGTACGTGTCACGTGCATCGTCGAAAGGGGAGGGATTATTAGTGAAAGAACAAAGAGTGAAGCATTGTAAAAAGAACAAAGGTAGGGAAAAGAAAAAGGAAGTGACTGAGCCACAAAGGAAAGAAAAGGATTAAAGAAGCATTTGAAACTAACACTTCTCCAACCGCTTCCTCTTCTCCGCATAAATAGCCTCTAATTTCCGGATTTGCAGTCCAAGACCCTTCTTCTCTGCATTAGCGAAGAGCCAAGTCTCCATTCTCTCGCGAAGATGTCTCATGGAGTTCGTTACGGGGAGGATGGGCTTGTTCTCGCTTGTCATGGCGGCAGGGTTCTGGCCTTCGCGTTCCAATTGAGCCCATCGCTCCTCGCCGGGATTGAGGAGGAGGTCGAAAACGTCGTTCCAGATATCGCGCTCCCAGTACCGTTTCAGAGACTCGCGAATTCGGTACGTCTTGGTCTCAGGAGTATTGCCGCTGGGGATGGACTCGAGGTACTTTCCGAAGAGCATGACGTGGATGGTACCTGCTAGGCCATAGAGATCGATTTGGTGTGTCCAGGGTCGGTTCTCGCGGATTTCGTTGCACTCGTGCTTGCCGGTTTCCCAGTCGGCGACGAATTGGACGGATGGTTGGAAGGCTTGCATGTCGATACTGCGGCCGAAGTCGATGAGGGAGAGACCCTTGTTGCGCCAGCCGTGGAGGCCCCCGGGTGAGTAGTGGATTTCGCGTGGGTCTGCGGTGATCTCATCGCCCAAGTCGAGTAGGGAGGGAGGTGGTGCGGGCTTGTCGTCAAGGCGGACGAGGCAATTATCGGCTTTGATGTCGCCATGTAGGATGCCACAGGAGTGAAGAGATTCGACGACACGGAAGAGCTCCACTGTAAAGAACATGGCCAGGACCTCGTCTATTCCGCCTTCGGCGTTGCTGTTGGCTGAGAGCGGCTCGTTACGGATGAGGTTCACAAGATCGAGCAGAGTTCCTTGTCCACGGTAGTCTTCGACCAGAATGCTTTCTCCTTTGTAGACGTGAAGCTCGTGTGCGCGGATGATACTTTCAGTAGCGCGGGAGTATTCGGGATGTTGGCTCAACCGTTCGTTTGCCGTGCGAATCATGTAGAACTCCCACTCGCTGGGCGGTCCTACTTCCAGTTTGATCGCTTCGAAGCCGTGACGGGGTGCGTCGTATCGGATGGGACTAGGGTTGTGGGAATCTCTGCTGTTGGAGTCGGTTTCAGAGTCGGAAGGTAGACTGTCGATGCTCTCTGCAAAATAGACCGGCGCATAAGCACCGGCACCAAGCTCACGCCTAATGATATAGCTTCTCTCGGCACCTGGAAGCTCAAGAATGGGAACATCGAAAGATGCCTCATCCCCACTTCTTGAACGCTTCGGGCTGGTCTTGAGGTATCGCTGGATTTCAGAGCCATAGTGAGTGTCCATCTCGGGGTGGCCGTGGTAGCCAGGGTACGATGCCAGCGGTGGCTGCAATGACCGAAGAATCGTGTTACGAATATCCCTGTCGGTTGGGTTGCACTGCTCATCTTTAATGACTACTCCTGTCCGAGGGCTTTCTCTCAGGGGGCTCAATTTGAAGCTTGTTCGAAGCTTCTCCATTGTGGGGCTCAGAGCCACGTCTTCAGGAATATCAGGGAAGTCATCGTGGTGAGGAGTGGCAGGAAGCAATGGGCTCGACAACAAGAGATTGCCCATCGGGGGCTTCGACGGTGTCTTCGCATTATAGAGACTGTTCCTCGCTGCGGTCATTGACAAGGAGTGTTCGGTCTGTTCAACGATTGGCGTCATGAAAGGCAGGCGATTCTGAGCCATCACTGCGGGGTCTCGATAAGGGCCATAGGGCGGGTTGTAATCTTCAGGCATTTGAGGGACAAATCGCTGCCTCTCGCCATTTTCATCTGCTTCATGGAACTGCTCCGTGTTATCCTCTCTGCCATGGTATGTGGAGTCCTCAGGCATAGCAGGTGAATGAGCAGCGCCCAGATCCGGCACATCACAGGCCGAGAACTGAGTCCACTCTCCATCTACCACACTTTCAGCTCGAGTGTTGTCTTCGAACCCATCCTCATCACCTTCGACGAACGATTTGTGAAAGGTTGTGTCATCATCGCCGAAATCGCTTGACGCGGCAGACATGCGACCAGTGACCGTGCTCTCTCCAGCGCTCGTATAATCATCGTCATCGAAGTCACTACTCTCTGCTGCATTCTCGGTTTCTGCTTTGAGTGGCTGGTTGAAAATACTATAGATCTCGTCTGTTGCAGCGCGGGTGTGTATGGTCATGGTAGGCTCAGCAGTGCTCTTGCGGCGAATTTTGCCCCCAGTGGGCGAATCAAACTTCATTTTGACTTCAATTGGGTTAGCACACAAAGACAGCGAATGAAGTGGCATAAAATACTAAGTGAACCAAAATTGTTACTTACTCGTCTGTGTCTCTCCTTTCACTTCACGAAGCTTCAACTTCCGTGCTTTGTTGGCTTTGCTTTCCTGGACCGGTTCTCCCCGTTCGGGGTCATGAGTCTCTGCATCTTTGACAGTCAATTTCTGCTTAAACTGTTGTGGTAGGTCATTTTCAAGGCCATGCTCCAGAGGGTTCTCCGAGGGTATCTCTGCTGCTGCTGCATTGCCTGAGATCTGCTTGAGGGGCTCTTTATGGGCCCGCCAGTTCTTGTCCATCCAGCCACGACTGATGGCCCTAAGTTCTTCGAAGCTCACTTCGTGAGCCGGGTTCTTGTAGTCTGGGTATACTGCTTCAAGATTGACGAAGACGCGCTCCCGTCTCCCTGTACGTGGGTTAACCGCTTCCCTTACGCGATGCTCTGGAACATGTTTCGATTGCAATGCTTCTTTTGCTTGTAAATTTGAATTTGACTGAATACATAAATCGTAAACCAATGCGGTTCATGCCACCAATTAGTCCTGTGATCGTAAATATACGGAAATCAGAAAGAGTAGGTAAATTAAACCTCTGAACTTACCTCGTCCCTGAAAATCGTCATCTTCTGTGCCGGTGCCGGCTTCTTCCCTGCCTTCAAAGTCTCCCCCGCCCATGGCTTGGCCTCCACCTTGTTCTCCTTCCGTCGGTCATGCAACGATCCGATGCTGTCCCACCCTTGTGCCGGCGCACTAACAGCTGGTTGGCTGGGTGTATCGGCGTCGGAAAAGATCGCCATCTTCGGCTTGCCGGATTTCGTCTTTGGAGCAGCGCTACGCGCGGGTGCTGGGCGCTGGGCCTGGGGATCGGCTTCTGCGGGAGAAGCCGAAGCGAAGGGGTCGACCTTGGCAGCCAACGCTGGGCGCACAGCCGGTAGCGCAGGTGACGAGGGGCCATTGTCCTGTGTGTGGTTTTCGTAGCGGTGCTGGAACTCGCTGTACTTGCGCACAAGTCGTTCTGCGGGGCGCGCTTCCTTGTCAATGCCAAGCCGGTACACCTCGTCGGCCTGCGTCCATCTTCCTGCACTTTCCAACCAGGCCGCAAATTCTTCGTAGTACAATGCGAGTCCTTCTCCAATACGGTGGCGTGCCAGAAAAGCGAATGTCTCCCGCGGTGAGTCGGAGAAGAGTCTGATGTAGTGAAGCCACAGGCGCAGATAACGAGGGTCGTTCTTATAATGAGGGGAGTTGAGGAAGTGTTTCACGGCACGTTCCAGAAGGGGCAGAAGGCCGGATTCAGCTGTAGCCTGGGCGGTTGGATGGGCATTCAGCGCCCATTTCACATATCGGTCGTAGATATCGAGCGGGTCGTCGGATTCTCCTATAGCTTGCAATTCTGCTTCATATTCTTGGCGGATGGCATCGTTCACTGTGCGGGTATCATTTGGCGACGGCGTAGCCAGGATATCTGTAGATTCACGTGGAGAGAAGATGCGAGCCAACTCTCTTGCTGACCGGCCTCCTGGTAGCGACTGAATGTTCTCCTTCTGGCCTTCGATGATGTCGAAATTGACGTGGTCTTCGTTGGCCGCCATTGCGGCGACAGGTAGAGATGAAAAGTGGATCAGAACGAGTGCGTCGAGGGTGGATATTGATCGGTCGTAGTAACTTTGCGGTGACAGCGGTGAAGAAGTCGAGATGGTGGGCTGGCGAGATGAAGCGAAGGGCGACTCGAGAATAATCGAAGGGGATTGACCGACTCGGGCAGTTTATCGATAAACAGCCACTAGTCCCACTCGGGCTGGTTACCCCGACGACCAGTCACATGGACACTAGCCCATATCGGGTAATATTCGCTGCCAGTATCTGGGCTGCTGCAGATATACTCGTCAAGCTTGTGAGAGGGCGTTATAGTGCTATTTTGGGCATATTTTGAATAAAGTCCAGTTACTTATATTCAGATACACCTGATCAACACTTGTCCTTCTCAACATAACGCGTGGGAAGTCACCTTCAGCGCAGTCCCCTCAACAAGCAATTCCGCTCGCGTCGACCGCGTCAAACCGCCGGGCCAATCCTGCTGTCTTTCAACGGCCCACCACCGCCCTGCCATCCCACCATTCCAGAACGACTGGCCAGACCGGGTGACTCCATAGTCCTTGAAGTGCCCAGATAAGCTGTGATGCCTCCGCGCAGTACCCGGAAAGCAGCCTCAACCGCAGTGGCGACTGAGCCGCCACGCTCTCCCGAACCGGGAGGCAACAAGCGCAAGCCCGACGAAACTCAGGAACAAAGCTCCCCGCTACGAAGATCGAAGCGCGTCAAGTCTGTCGAAGGCCTCGGAACGCAGTCGCCGTCCGGCAAAGCCGCTGCGCGCACAGCACCGACCGAATCTGCTGGAAGCCCCAAGGCGACGCCGAGGAAATCTGGTGGTCGGGTCGTTTCGGTGAAGAAGGAGATTGAGGAAGAAGAGACGGTCTCGGTTGAGGCAGAGGTTGTCGACGATAACAAGGTCAAGGACGAAGAAGCGGATGAGAAGCCGAAGGTGAAGGCCAAGGTTACGAGGAAGAGAAAGACCAAGGAAGAGATCGAGATGGTACCATTGAGGGCGCGCACGCAGGGTCTGCGCATGTGCGTAGGCGCTCATGTCAGTGCTGCCAAAGGTTGGCATCTACTAGATTCAATCGTCTTTGATATGATGCTTACGATGCTGTGCTACAGGTGTCTTCAACGCGGTTCACAACAGCATGCATATCGGGTATGTTCCACTCACCCTCTCAACCAGCATCATCTAATCCCTCCCAGTGGCAACGCCTTTGCCCTATTTCTCAAGTCCCAGCGGAAATGGGACAATCCAGCCCTCCAAGATGACCACCGCGACCAATTTCGCAACCTCTGTATAGAGCACAAGTACGACGGCGCAAAGTGAGCCTCCCCACCCACACCAACCGAAGAGGAGCCAACCCTAATCTAACCATACCAGACACATCCTTCCCCACGGCTCCTACCTCGTGAACCTGGCCCAAGAAGACAAAACCAAAGCCAAGCAAGCATATGACGCATTTCTGGACGACCTCCGCCGCTGCGAAGCCCTAGGAATAACCCTCTACAACTTCCAGTACATCCCCATCCCCTACACCCTCCGTCCCACCAACCCATACTAACCCCCATAAAAACAGCCCCGGCAGCGCCAACCAAACCTCCCACGCCTCCGCCATAACCCGCCTCGCCGCGGCCCTAACCTCCGCGCTCGCCGCCACCAGCACCGTCACGCCGGTGCTCGAGACCATGTGCGGCCACGGCAGCACAATAGGCGGCTACCTGCACGAATTCCGAGACATCCTCTCCCAAATCCCTAAAGAATACCATCACCGAATCGGCATCTGCATCGACACCTGCCACAGCTTCGCAGCGGGGTACGACCTCGCCAGCCCCTCAGGATTCGCCTCCTTCATGCAAGAATTTTCCGACGTAATCGGGATCCAATACCTGCGCGCTTTACACCTGAACGACTCGAAAGCACCACGAGGCAGTAAACGCGACTTACACGCCAACATCGGCACGGGATTTCTGGGCCTGCGCGCATTCCATAATGTTATGAATGAGCCGCGGTTCCAAGGGTTACCGATGATTCTGGAGACGCCGATTGATAGGCCTGAGAGTGAAATCAAAGGTAATGAGGAGGGGGAGGAGTCTCCCAAGGCTAATAAGAAGAAGAAACCGGCTGGGGCTTCTGCGAAGATGGTACCGGATCATAATGTCTGGGCGGGCGAGATCGCGCTGCTTGAGTCGCTGATTGGGATGGATCCTGAGGGAGAGGAGTTCCGGGCTTTGGAGGCGAGGTTGTCTGAGGAAGGGCGGGAGATGCGCGAGAAGCAGATGGAGCAGTATGAGCGGAAGTTGGAGGCGGAGGCGAAGAAGAAGGAGAAGGCGAAGGCGAAGGAGGAGAAGGGGCAGAAGACGCTGATGGAGATGATGAATGGGGGTGGGAAGGCGAAGGGGAAGAATACAAGGGCGAAGAAGGGAAAGGCAGCGGAGAAGGATGAGAGTGATGAGGGGAGTGATGAGGAGGGGTGTCAGAGTTGTTCGGAGTAGTTTCATGTATGTATAGTGCTACGTATGGAGTATCAAAAATGTATCAATAGATGATGTACGAATGGAAGGGTTCTGGGAGAGTCATTTTAATATAGTATTGGAGTAGTGGTGTAGTGGTGTAGTGGATCAGACTAATTTATGTAGACTGCAATGCGATTAAGCTCCATTAGAGCTAAGAGATAGATAACATGGTATCACTCGATAAATCACTGTCTATACCAGACATCGTCTGCCAATATGTGCGGGACGCCCAATGTACTTCAGACATGCCGATTCCCAGGCATGCTGATCAGATCCTCCGTTATAAAATAAGGACCATCCAAATCAGAAACGTGATGCGACGATCGACGAACTCGAACGCTGATGCCACGAGGTTGTAGACCGACAAAGGGGTTTTTGGATATCAAGGAAAGTAGGGAAGCAAAGTTCCAGGTCGAACCATACCAGTGGTCCCTTGAACCATGGTGAAAAACGCATGAAACAGCAATTACCAGAACTACTCGTCTAGCTAGCTGAGCGTCCTTCCGGTGAAGCCCGTTCTGGAGATGTCTGGGGCTTGCTTCCGAAGCTAGGGCCGGAAGCCGATCGATTAAGCTCAGCTTCCAGGGACGTGATGACTGGGGGTGCCGATTTCAAGGGCGAGGGGGCCGACACTCGAGGGGAGAAATTTCTATCGTGGTCCCCGAGATTGGTGGTGTTGATGCTTAACCCGAGCGCATTGCTAGCGCCGCTGGCACGAACACGGAATGAGCGCCGACCGCCAGCGGTCAAGTCATCCTCAGGAGTGATATTCACATTGTCCTCATCGACATGGATACCCGGAGATTGGAAAGTGCTCGTTTCAGGGTTACGGATCCGTCGGTACTCTCCGCGCTCCCCAGTCGGATCGGAGTCGTCCTCAGAGTCCAGATTGGGACTGCGTGTCCACGCGCCCTTCTGGGCTTCTGAGCGCATTTTAGAGATCTTCATGTAGTTGTAGGACGCGATGCTGCCAATGGTGACCACCAAGCCCGTAATGTTGACTGCAGTGAGCTGATCGTGGAAAATGACCCCAGCAGCACTGATGGTGACGACTTCCTTGAAGATGCCGCAAATGCTCAGCGTCACTACCGAAGAGCGCTTGAGGAGCGCAAACTCAGAGGAAATCATGCAGAAAGCCAGGATACCAGGGAAGATCAGCAGGAAGACAGCAAACAGGCCCCCGCGGGCAGCCGCCAGGGCTTGGAAGCCAGCGATGATCTCCAACGGCCCCTCTACCGCCAGCGCAATGACAATCAGTGAGACAAACATCACAGGCGTAAGGAAGAAGAGGGTGGAGAACGGGTTCGCCGTCGCGGGATGGCGTAGGAGGAGAATCTGGGTGAGGCCCCATCGGAAGCCCGAAAAGAACGCCGATGCAATGACGAGGATAAATCCAACCGCATTGAAAGCGGTCTCGCCGGCGACCATCATGACAACACCCACGGTCATCGTAGCAATGATCACGATCAACTTGACGGATGGGGTTTCGAGGCGGAAAACGAAGGCAAAGAGAAGGACGAATGCCAAGGCGGATGATTTGCACATGGTGAGGAAGGTAAGGGAAATGAACTTCAGGGACATGTTTCCCAGTCCAATATCGAGGGAAGTCGCCGCACCGCAGGGGACGAGACGTGTAAGGTAGAAGAACCGGGTGACCACCGGTCGGGACTCAAAGGGATCATGCTCGCTCACGGGCGAACCTGTAGGTGTGGATGCAGCGGGCGCTTTCGGACGCAGGGAGGGTATCAAATAGAGGAGTATCGACGAGAAGGTGAACTGAACGGCCATATGCAAGCTCGTGGTGAAGAGGGGGAAAGGAAAGACAACATCGTCATCGGAGAACATCCACTTGTTGTACTACCAGCACCGACGGGGGTTAGCATGTGAGCCATGGAATACGCGCACCAGAGAAACTCACAATTGAAATCGACAGCGAAAAGAAATACCACAGCAGGATCAATCCCGCATTAATGGACAGCCTCCTGAAGACATCACTATCTGTGAACCCCAACGGTAATGTATCGTGCTTCGAGGCCTTGACGTCGGCGATACGGGCATCCAACTGTCGCCGCTGCTGCCTTCTGCGGCGCCTCTGGCGTCTCTGCTTCGCTGTGAGGCCCGTTTCTTCGTCATCATGGAGGTCGTCGTCTGAGCTGATATAATCCATCTCCAAGCTCTCTGCGATCGAGGATAGGTCCGAGATGTCTGCGTCCTCAGCCGGCGAGGACTTGGGCTCCTCTCGTTTTGAGCCGGCAGCGTCCCCAATGACCCTTGGTATATCGTCTCGATGCTCGATTGGAGCTGACTGTGAAGCGCCCGCCAGTACTGAGCTCCGCCGTCGATGATGATTGCCAGACGGAGAGACACCCATGGTGGGAAGAGGTGCGTACCGTCGGAGCGGGACGGCGAACGATATAAGAGGGCGATAAGGAGATGGAAAGGAGGGTAGTCGCTAGGTTGGCGCAGGCCCCATCAGTGACGGAAGGTAGGACTAGGGTATGTGTCTCAAGTGGGCCAGCGCTGGAGGGAGAGCACAGTCACGACCGGAGGGAGGGATTCGCGAGGGTGAAGAATGGCGAGGGGCACCGGATGCCCGAAGGAGTGATGAGGAAAGCCGGTGAGGGAATTGACTGGTCTTAGTGGGGACGTTGACAAAAAAGCTCACGCAGAAGAAGGCAAATCAGAGTCACGAGAGAGAAAAAGGAAAATGTCAAGGGAGGGTGGATGGTAGGAGGAGTGGCAGCAGGACAGCCCGAGCAGGATGATGGGGGATGCAAGGGCGACCGATGCACGAACGCCGTCCCCGTTGATAGCGGCAGAGAGTGAGAGACAATAAGCCAGGAAGAGGCGGGATAAGCACGCGAAAGGAGGAGAAAACAGGAGAAAAGGGAAAAGGGAAAAAGAAAAAAGAAAAGAAAGGAGGGAAAGAAGGAGGGATTCACAACCAGTCAGCACACAGCAGGATGAACCAGTTGAGACGGAGAATCAGAATGAGCATTTGGAAAATGGGGGGGAATTGGAATGGAATGGCAAAGGGAGAGGAGGAAGTGGAAGAGAAAGAGGGAGAGTCAAGGCAGTCAGTCAGTCTAAGCAAGTAGTGCAAGTTTCAACCCAAAAGTGGATATGGAATTATTGTTTTCTCGCCAAGGGAAACAGAGAAATTCGAACAAGATTACAAGAATAAATCAGAATAATAATAATAATATTGAGGTCTTCTGGTCTGGTCAAATCGCCAACAGCCACAGCCTTCCCAACGTCATAGCGCGATAGTCACTAGTAGTTAATCCCCCCTGGTCGATTGGGATACGAGCATCGCCGGGTGCTGAGGTTAATCATGAAATGATGACAGAAAAGAAGGAACCGAAAGACAGGCACAACTTCGGGGGGAAGAGAGGATCCACCTTCCATCCGCGTCTCAAAAAGAAGACCCAACCAAGGGCCTGTTGTTTTTCATCTCTCTGTCCAAGTGTTTTGCCCCTATTGAAATGCTAGTCTAGTCACGGATTGTTTACTACTACTACTACTACTATCTACTCCGTCAAATGATGCCGGATGTCCTGCTCAGGTCGACAAGTCACCAGCCAACCTTCCCAGATTAGGAGCGGGGATCCTCGTTTTCTAGATTCCTTCGGCTTTGGTCCCTTCCGGCCGATCCGGGGTCAGCATTAATTGCTTCCCTTGAGTGACTCGAGATCATCATCCATGGCTGATCAACTAGAGGATTTTTCAGCTGCTTCATCGCTCGTGGGGAAATAAATAATATCGATCGATCAATTGACATATAGAAGAGGAGGGGATTAAACATCATCAAAACACTCCCTCTAGGTAAACAGGAAGAGGAGGGATAAGAAGCAGCTTCTCCTCACGCGATCAGGCAGCAGCAGCAGCAGCAGCAATAACCCGCGGATAGCCGGAGGTGTTGGCAAGTCAGTATCTTTTAGGCATGTAGAGACATGTAGTGAAACATCCACCACCTCACCACTATGGTCTACACTGGTCTACACTGAGTTCCGACCGTGAGAAAAGAAAAACGGCGCTTCGTGCCGTCTCTCATGAGATCACACCTAATATTATTCACACCGACTCTTGGCGGTTAGACCTGAATCGACTCGGAGCTTCCTTGGACCCAACTCTAAACACGACCCCATCGCTGGGCTGATTGGGTGCGGCCCAATGCAATAACCCACGGCCGGTCTGGTCCAACTCTACTATCTCCCCCTCGGCAGGAACAAGACGGCCGCTTTCCGACAGGGAATCACCACACCAAGGTATCTGGATTGGATGGATAGAAAATGAATGAACTGAGGTGCATACAGCTAATGGAGGTATGCCATTGTTCCCCCTCAATGCCATCCACGCCCAGAAGCTGGGCAAAGCTGCTGCTGCTCTCAATTGGGGCTCCAACCAAGGGTCACACACCCACCGAGAGCTGCTACAAAGTATGCTGATCCCATCCCATCATCTCCATCAATAATGCGGGGTGGCCCAACACCGATCATCACTTTTCCACTCTTCAAGAATGATCTTCTTGTCCCTGTATCCACTTCACCCAGTCTTTCCACTCTCATCATCTCATTGAGTCATCATTATTTCCTCTTCGCATGTCTCAATCGCCACCACCCATCAAATCATGTCATCACACTTATGCCATGCAGAGTTCACCAACCCAACACATCGTAGTCTAGACACTAAAATTGATTCTCATCGAGAGACGAACAAACTATCAATCTCATGCAGCCCTGCACCCGCGTTAGCTAATCCCATAGTTCATACAATAGCCCAATCTGCATGATGCTAACCTGCATCTGATGATCCACTGATGATCCGATGCTGTTGCAAAAGAGGGGCGGAGCTGCAGGGAAATCCGGAATGCACTTTTTCCAACCCTTTTTCTTTTTCTTTTCTTTGCTTATTATGCTATGCTAGACTATGCCCCAAGTCTCTATTACTACTGCCTAGACTACTTTGTATGTAGAATATGGGTCCAAGCGGCTCGGAGAATTCCATTGTGGCTTTGCCTTTTTTTTCCCTCCATTGTACACTCCTTACCTTGCCTGAACCTTTTTCCACACACTATAGTATGTGAGGGCTGAAAAGCTGCAGGAAGCACAGACTCAGTCATTGTCACTCATTCACTTTTTTCATCCCCGCAATGCAATAGTTCAAAGTTACTATGTTATATAGTTTAATTGATTACTTTGTAAGTTCAGTCAGTCAGTCAGCCACTCTTCACATCACTGAAAGTTTGGTTACTTTCATGGGGGGCTAGTAGATAAGCCGCTGATATTATTTCTCCGGAGCAAATAGCAATGACATTAGTACTGAAGTCTTTTGTCCCGCCTGCGCTCCTACGCAATCACTGATCGCTCATGAGCACGCACTGCTAGACGGTATACAAACTATCACACAAAGCAATGACAACAAGCTATTACTTTCGAGGACATTGAGTAGATAAGCACTGCATACTGCATTTGATTTTATCACACTTTGGCTAGAAATTTTTCCTCACCCTATCCTCCATTGTGGTAGAGAGGCGCTGCTGTCAGAATTATCAGTCTTATCATGCGAGTACGCCTATTCTTTAGTATATGTTGAATATAGTAGCTTCTAATCAGTCTACTTTTCGCTCTTGCGTGTTTATGTTTCAGGTGTGGTTCTTGGTTCTCTCTGTCTTCTAGTTCTGTCTCTTGTCAGATCACAGTACTATATAGGTATGATACGGTCTACTGTATGAATATTTTCTCAATCCACGTTAAGGAAGAAGGACTGCTAAACGCACAAAATCAAATACCATAGAGGTGCAATGTTGGTGCTTAATTGCAGTACGAGATTTCATTAACAAAATGAAATAATTGCACAAGCAAAAATTGTGTAAGCACAAGAAGTTATTTCCCGGGATATAGACCTGTCTACTATCTGACGTGAACCCTTGAATAAGGTATAGATCGGAACTGTGAGATAGTCAACGGAGGCCATCGATACAAGTACGCTTGTTCCTATACTCGAGGTTACTTCTAGTTCTCGCGCCCAACCCACACAAGTAGCCATGTTGCCCGACTACGATCAAGACATGTCACATTCTCAGAATTGAGGAAGTGCAATTCGACGATTTCCTAGAAGTGCGAACATGTTTGTGGAACCCTTTCACAAATTCCCACGTGCATGTGGGACTTCAAATGATTCCGCAGAAAGGGTCATGTTAGATGTCAAGATAATTATAGCTTTTGTATCCCCTCTCATTCTCAACTTCCACTAAAGAAGCATTCGTCTCGTAGGTTTCCTCATAGAAACAGAAAGAATTGAGTTAATAAACGCCTAATTTAAAGTTTCTACAACCATAATTATCTATGCAGTATCTACATCTCATGCTCCCCGCAGAGGGATGCTACATACAATGCACACATGCCACATCAACAATCGTTAAGGTAACACCAACTAGTCCAGCATCTCGCTTCTCTTCTTTCCAGTTTCTTGGAAGTATCCCTGCATTTCTGATCCATAGATTCTATACTACCAAGACCCTGGTTACCTCACAACAATCATTCCCTCCGTACTTATGACCTCCCAGATCCACCCCCAACCCTTAGCACTACCCTATATACCACGCACGGATCGGCTCCAACAAGGCAGCTCGCGCTACAAGCGGCTTCAACAAACGTAAAAGCGTGGTTCCTAGCTATGCCTTGTGACAGATACGTGGTCCTTGCAGGTAAGATATGTGGGCATATGTCACTGGCTAGAATTAAAGGGATTTTCTTGGGGTTCGCTCCGAGCCATTCCTCGCACCAGAGATTAGGAGGACATGTATATAGGTGGTTCTTGGCTTTGGAGAAGGCTGTTTCTGCATCAGATAGGTGACTGAGTAGTATAACTCTGGACTAGGAATACCAACTGCTCATTTATTATTGCTTCTAATGGCCCCCGTTCTTGAGAGTTGGTTCCTTGTCTACTATATGCTGGTATAACATCATAAGATAGCTAGAGCTGCCTTATAAAATGGCATTTACTTGAAATATTTCCCGTCGAGTTGTTATTGAATATAAGAGACCCCACAGAAAACTTTCCCAAAATACTCCATAAACCTCCTACTGTCTCGACTCATATCACCATCCCCACCCCCATTCTTCTGACAAACCCCATATCCCAAACAAGTTCTAGCAACCTCATCCTAACCGTCAGATCTCTCTTCCCATTAGCCCCATCCTCCTAAACACCCCCCATCTACAACATATATACCAGAAGAATAATGCACCGCAATGCCCCACCTGCAACAATACTGACGCGATCCAGTCCATCTGCGCGAACTGTCAAGGCTCAGGAGGCTGATGGGAATCGTCGCGAACGATCTGCGAGCAGGGCGGAGGCACGAATAACATGAACACGGGGACGGTCTTTGTTCGAAGGGTAATATATCCGAATTACAGGGGGATGGCCAGGAAAAGACCAATGTAGTACTAAAAGAGCCTAGTAGGGTTAGATAAAGTGGATGGCTAGCCATGCACAATCTATTCCAATCATATAAACACTTCAGTGATAACCAGGAATAGGTCACTCAGGACACGCATTGCTATGCCCACCCCCCACGGTCTGTGTCAAAAAGAAAAACAATATGAGCCGGGAAAGGGAAAGTACTTTTCTGCAGGATTCAATCTAACTATCTAAATAGTTCGATGGGTAAATAGTAGGAAGTAAGCTTCCGCTGAATAGAAGCTTTTTGAACATGATTTCCCATTAACATGCAATATACACATCAAGCATCTAATAATCAGTCATTGCTTCTTCGGAGAGAGGGAACTGAACTCCATTCATTGGTCTTATCGGAACCCTGGTTCTACTGTCAAGACGAGGGCAGAGTGTAGACTGTACTAGACGCCGTACTGGGATGAGGCATCCTCGATGCGAAGGATATTTTAGGTCATGTGTGCTGATTTGGATGGCACAAGTCATAGGTTGCAGTAGTCGTTCATTTCATTGAGGATATCTACTTGGAAAAGTGATAATAGATCAGTATAGGTCTCATATTCATGCCGCCCCTGTATCTAATTGAAATAAATCTAAAGAACAAGCCAGAAGGCAAGGCTCCATTCCCGACCTATTCGATGCGCTGGGCATTTCCAGGACAGAATAGCTTGCCCGCAGCACCAAGCATTGGTCAAGTACGAGTCCGCTTCTGTATAAGCCATGCCGCCCTTTTCCATGTCTGCACCTGCTTGAAGGACCGTCGACCATGGCCCCTCTTGCAATATTCTCTTCCGTGTATAATCGACAAACAGGGAGAACTTTCGTTCTCTCCGATTTATCATTCGCTAATTGCGTTCATGGATAAATTAATCCCACGCAAATCATCATCCCCAGCACTGCACCGACGAGGCAAAATGGAGCCTTCAGGCGGATAATGAAAGGTATAAAAACTGATTGTTCAGCCTCCTTTACGTTGTCCAGCAGCACCGGCCCCTAGAATTAGATGGTCAGTCGCCATGCTTCATCGAGCGAGTCCGTCTGTAGATGGATGGGAGGGTAGACTGTACCAATAGTTGCACTGGCGTTGCGCAGTTCGATCTTCTTGCGCTCCATCTCGAGCTATCCAATTGTCAGATGTATCCTGCCTTGTCGGTATAAGGCCAACTTACCACCATGCGTACTCGAGAAAGAGCAGCCGTGTCACCCGCCACGAGCGGCCTGCAGTCATCTGGGCGGTAAGGGGCCGCAATGGAGACAGCATCGGCTACAATAATCTTGGTTCCATCCCACCTGGCCGGCATTGTGCGACTGAATGCGTCAAAGAGATCCTGTGCCTCCTTGGTGACTCCCTTGCCTCGCCGTGCTTCACCTTCCTGCAGCTTGCCGACAGCAGCAGCCTCCCGCGCCTTCAGAGCGCGAATATCAAGTGCGTGCAAAGGCGGCACGGCATCAGAGAAAGGAGCCCCATCGGTGCTGGACGGAGGCAGAGAGAGAACTTGGAAAGATTGTATGCGCGACACCGGGATGACATGGTAATCGCCGGTCTGTGACTTGCCTTCTTCGGCGATATTGATGGCAACGAGGTTCGTGATCGGACAGGCTGTGAACAGAGTCCCCTCAATGGTGGAGGCGACCGGAGATGTACTGATACGAACACTGTACAACACAACAACGTCAGTATGAACCTTGAAATCCCTGTAGGCATTCGTCCAGAGGCAGTCTGGCAAAGGAATACAGGTGCTAGTGCTTGCTGCACAAACGGAACTTCTGCTCAGCAGTGCTATCATAGGTCGAGGCTTACCGTGCGCCAATTGCACGGCTCAGTGCCACCTCCAAAGGCACCATGGCACCAGCCATTCCCTGGCCTGCAGGTGCGCCAGACGATCCCTGTGCAGATGTTCTTACTCCCACACTGTGGCGCTTGTTATCTGCCATATGCTCGGGCAGGAGACAGTTGAACTATCCCACCAGGAGCAGTGCAGGACAGGATAGGCTCCACAGTCAGACAGTAGCTGGGCGGTCTCTCTGCAGAGGAACAAAGACGGAGTCAGTCGATAAAGTCCCAAAGACACGATTGCCCACGTCGAGGGCTAGTCAGGTCAAGCGCAGGTCGAAATGATCGATCGGAATGGGGTTCCAGGCTGCGTGGAAGCCACGGTCGTTACCAGCAATGACGATGGCACTCGAGCGCGGATCAAGCAAAAGTGGGACGGGCGGGAACCGCAGCTTAGTCGTAGTTGGGTAAAGGAACGACGAGAAGTAAAAACATAAAATCTCCAGTAAAACAACAAACACAGAAGTGAATACGACGCCAATAGAGTACAGCCAGCCAGGGAGGGAAAGCTCCTCAGCGTCCTGGCATGCAGTTGGGCAGAATGGTGGTGTGATTGTGCACCATTGGATTGACACGATGGCCGCCGGGAGGGAGTCACGACCTTCCCGTCGCCCAATCCGGTTTAGTCCAGGGCGGAGCAGCACCTCCGGCAATCACCAGTTGGCTGTTCTTTCAGTCAACTTCATCGGTGTTCTACCATCACAATAACTACATTTTCTTCAAAACTACTTATTATAAATCATTTTACTGAAAGACTACAGTAGGGAAGACTTTGTGAAAAGAAACGTAAGACTATTTCATTCCATACGTTTTTCCCCTCAAAAAAAAAAGAAAAAAAGAAAAGAAAATAAACATCTAGATACATGTTAATAGAAATATAATAGAAATTCATTTCCTGTTTTGCTGGTCGTTTTGATCGTCATCATTCTTGTTTATGTGCTCAGGGGAGCCCGGCTAGCTAACTCTCCTGATTCTAGCCCAGCCTGTTCCCATGCTAGACCAGTGCGAGGCTCCACGTCCAGCGTTTTACATCGCATTTTCATTTAGGCAATGTAGGTGGACGCAGACACGTTACCACCGCGTCCAGTCCAGTTGACGTGGATGTCCTTGCCCTCAGGGTAGGTCTCGTTGGCGTGCTCGGGCTTGATGCGGAAGGTGTGGGCACCGAAGTAGTCACGCTGGGCCTGCAGCAGGTTGGCGGGGAGGTCGCGGGTGCGGTAGCCGTCGTAGAAGCTGAGGGCAGTGCTGAAAGCGGGGGTGGGGATACCCCAGAGAGCGCCCTTGCTGACGACGTTTCTCCAGCCGCTCTGGGCCTTCTTGATGGCGGTGTTGAAGAACTCGTCGAACAGGAGGTTCTCGAGGTCGGGGTTCTTGCGGTAAGCGTTGGTGATGTCCTTGAGGAAGACGGAGCGGATGATGCAACCACCACGCCACATGAGGGCAATGGAGGGCTTGTTCAGCTTCCAGCCGTACTCACGAGCAGCCTATAGTAACTTGTTAGTAACCGAAAAAGAGGATAAAGTCTCTTCTCTGGGTCAGACTTACCTCCTGGATGAGCATGAAGCCCTGGGCGTAGGAGATGATCTTGGAGGCGTACAGGGCCTGCTCGAGGTCATCGATGAAAGCCTGCTTGTCACCGGTGAACTCGGGGGTAGGGCCGTCGAGAAGGCTGCTGGCACGGATACGCTCGTCCTTGAGGGCAGACAGGCAGCGAGAGAAGACAGCCTCGCCGATCAGAGTGACGGGCATGCCAAGGTCAAGGGCGTTGATGGCAGTCCACTTGCCGGTACCCTTCTGACCAGCCTTGTCGAGGATCTTCTCGACGAGGGGAGTGCCGTCGTTGTCGTTGAAGTAAAGGACGTCACGGGTAATCTCAATCAGGAAAGAGTCCAAAACACCCTTGTTCCACTTGGCGAACACATCGGCAATCTCCTTGGCGGGGAGACCCAGACCACGCTTGAGGATGTCGTAGGCCTATTAACAAACGTATCAGTTTCCATCCACATACATCTAATCGTTGCATGGTCTCAAGCTTACCTCGCAGATCAGCTGCATGTCACCGTACTCAATACCGTTGTGGACCATCTTGACGAAGTGACCAGCGCCCTCGTCACCAACCCAGTCGCAGCAGGCCTCGCCGTCGCTCTTGGCGGAGATGCTCTGGAAGACGTCCTTGATGTAGGGCCAGGCCTCCTCGTTACCACCGGGCATGAGAGAGGGGCCGTAACGGGCACCCTCCTCACCACCGGAGACACCGCTGCCGACGAAGCGGATGCCCTTCTCGGCGAGGTACTTGGTGCGGCGGTTGCTGTCGGGGAAGTGGGAGTTACCGCCGTCAATGATGATATCACCCTTCTCAAGGTGGGGCAGGAGAGACTCGATGAACTGGTCAACGGGCTTTCCAGCCATGACCAGGAGCATGATACGACGGGGGCGCTTCAGCTTGGCGCAGAACTCCTCAACGGAGTGGGCACCAACGATGGGCTTGCCTAATAACCCAAACCGTTAGTTGATCTGGGGGCCGAGATGTAGCCAGACAGAGCAAACTCACCCTTGGCCTCATTCTCAAGGAAGCGGTCAACCTTGGAGGTTGTGCGGTTGTAAGCGCAAACAGTGAAGCCGTGGTCAGCAGCGTTAAGGATCAGGTTCTGACCCATAACGGCCAGACCGATGAGACCGAAATCAGCACTAGGCAAAGGACGCGCCGGAGCGCCGACATTGATGCCGGCGAGACGGGCGCTAAAGTCAGTTGCCAAATCCTCTGTCAATAGCTGGGCAGAAACGTGACAATTGGGGGGGTGATGAGTGAAGCTGCGTTGCCTCTAACGCTACTATGACGTCGAGACGCAAACCCCACGAAGCTGGCGGTCCATTGCACCATCACCACTATTTAGTGGATGATGGATCATGGAAGCCATAATTAAGCTGACAGTTCATTCCCAGCTGACTCTCACACAGCTGGATGTCTCTCGGCCCATTCATTGATGCGTCAAGAGGGTTACCAAGCTGCGGGGGAAAGCAAATGATTGAAGGACATGAAGGCTTCAAGGGGATAGGGGAAGGGAAGAGAGAACATTGGTAGCCGCAGGGTACTTACACAGCTTGGTCAGCCATGATGAAATAGTGGGGGGTATGAACTCTGGAGAAGGAGATATGGAAGAGGTGGAAGAATAGAGGAGGGGGGAGGTGGTGGATATATGTACAGTCAGGAAGAACCAACTGCCTAGAGGATGATGGAGAAAAGGAGGAAGGTTTAGTTTGGAGGGGAAGGAAAGGGAAGAGAGGAAAGAGGCAGAGAAGCGAGCGAAAGGGAGAAGGCGTTCGAAGATGTCAGAGCAGGATTCGTTGCAACTGGACGGCTTACGGAGCAGCTCTTCCGTCATGGTGGGACGGAGGGCGGGGCAGCACCTGAGCAGGAGAGGAGCAGAGTCCTCCGGTGAACAAGACTACTAACCAAAGAGTACTACACCGGTGGGAGGAGGAGTTTGGTACCGGCACATACATGGAAGCCCGCGGATAGATAGATGCTTTTTGAGTAATATGGTTTATGTGAGTAACTATAGTACTAAGTAGTATCTATTGATGGCTGTCTGTCAGGCATTCTTTGAATTGATCGGGTTTGGGTAATACCAACAAGCATACTACTTACTTATTGACTGTCTACTGCTATCAAAACCCCCACCATTTCCTGTACCTTCATGGTAAAATACAACCCCAACAATATCCCTTCTCCATGATGGAAGATTTTAGCTTCACCAACTCCTTACTGATGACAAACACCACTTTACTAGACTCCAATTGCCAATTGATCCCTTTGGGGGGAGAATGTTCGGAGATGACGGCGTCGCCAGGAGCTTTGAAAGATGGCGGGGCATGGAGGGGCACCACCGGCCGCAGCAAAATACGCCCGTAACGCAGTAAAAAAAGCCCGCGCTTCCCTCATTCCTACATCGGCCCAGCAAGGGAAAAAAAAAAGGGACCGAAATTCCCAGACTTCCCAGAACACGTTCGGTGAAGCACCTTCGGAGACGGATAAATTGGATTCTCCTCCACTCTTCCCCATCTTGTCTAACTACGAACAGTAATTCACTGCTGGTTCAGACTGCGGTTCCTCCATCACCTCATCCCAGTGTATCAATGCCTACTAGTCTATCGGGTATGGCATCGGACTTCCACCTGTAGTGTCATAGTACTATGTTCTGCTTTTCGATTGCCCTTCGGTATCCCAGCCATCGGAATTCGTTGGGTAACTAGACCCCACGGAGGAGAAATCCATAAGCCGGAGAAACTGGCCGCTATTTCCGGGGACTTCTTATCTTCATCCCGCACTTGTTCGTTCTCCTCTCGTGATGGAATTGGCACGATGCACTCCTATAGGGACGATCCTCCCCCCGGCGGTCGGCTACTGCATTTCCCAAAAGAGATTAGGGTGGGGGTTGCATCACATGTGGGAAATCCGTTGGGGCTCAGAGTTGCGCTTGGCTGGCTGACTCAGAAGGTCAGCCTGGCCGGCGACTGTGCACGTGATGTGCTTTTTTACCTTGAATCACGTGATCTAGAAAATGCCCGGTTTGCATCGAACGGGAGGCGAGAAAAACCATTCATGCGGTCTTTTCTCTCTCCTGCCGCGCTGGACTTCATCCGTCATCTGGGCCACCAAACTTGCCCAACCCGAACCTTTCAACAGCACACGGTTTGCCATTACTCGATACACGACCCATCTGACTATTAGCACCACTGTCGCCTCTTCACACTCTACAGCAAGGAATTGTTAGATATTCCACCACCGCTTCCCCTCCTCTCTACTCACCTGTCTCTGTACTAGTACAAGGAAAGATCTAGAAAGGCTCGTCACTAGTCCTTTTTTTCATCAAGATTCGGAACCTTTTTCAGGCGTGACGTCTGGCGTATGACTGCTGCGTCAGTCAAACCCTGAAGGTACGTGTCTGCTGCTAGTTTGCACACGGCGCATCACATCATCCACCACCTCTCTCTATACTATATATCGGACTCTCCGTTCATCATGTCCTTTCCGCCACCTCCAGGTCTCAGACAAGCCCCGTCGTCTCTTCCTCCCCGGCCGCCGGCAACAGCAAGCGGTGCCTCACCATCTACCTTTCAACCTGCATATTCGGCGGCACCGTCAGGTGCAAGCAGCAGCTATGGCGGAAACGGGTCTCGGCCGGGCTACAGCGCCATCACAGCATTCCAGCCTCGCTCGGTAGCTTCTAGCCAACCTTACCGTACCAGCAGCCCCGTCGTGTCCGCCCCACCAACCACATCTAGTGGATATTCGACACCGACTACGGGCAGTTACGGTGGCTACTACCCTCAGGCGCAAGCGTCATATCAAAGCGGCCCTTCTTACTACGGAGCCGCCCAATACAATGAAAACACATACGGTCCGTCTGTACCTCGGATTCAAAACCCCTTTACGCCCGCGGGGGGGGATCAGTCAGGCGCCTATGGCATGCGTGGGAGGAACTTTGGCCGGAATGAATCAGGGCTGGACCCTGAAACGGAAGCCCAGATTGCACAGTGGCAGAGTGCCTACGTAAACAAGGAGGAGATGCCCGTAGCCGGCAAGGTTCCTGGTCGCCCGGGTGTTAACCCGGGTGTTACTGGTCCCGCTTCTGGTGCAAACACCCCATCCGGTTCCAATACAGCGGCTAACACGCCAGCACCCACCGTGGGTAACCCGGAGCCTGCACCGAAGACTGTGGTCCGTGCCGGAGGTGGTCAGACCTGGTCCGATTCGACCCTACTCGAGTGGGATCCCGCACATTTTCGCTTGTTTGTAGGCAATCTGGCTGGTGAGGTCACGGACGATTCGCTACTCAAGGCATTTTCCAAGTACACCTCCGTTCAAAAGGCTCGAGTAATCCGTGACAAACGTACCCAGAAGAGTAAAGGTTACGGATTCGTCAGTTTCAGCGACGGCGACGATTATTTCAAGGCTGCGAGAGAGATGCAGGGCAAGTACATTGGCTCGCATCCGGTTCTGCTCCGACGAGCCACCACAGAGGTCCGTCCCGTGTCCAATACGAAAAATGGGAAGAAGCACGGTGGTGGGGGCGGTTCGGGTGGTGGCTCCGGCAGTGGTAAAGTCAAGCACGATGGAGTCAAAAAGCACGGAAAGACCAAGGGAGGACTCAAGATTATTGGATGAAGGGAGGCATGCTGTATGTCCTCGAAGATAAATATTTTGACAATCGGATAAATATAATGCATAAAGTTACGTCTACAGTGATAAAATTAACGGGGAGCAGCGGGATACCGTGGCCTTGCGGAATTACTATTCGCATCCTTCCAAGGTCATCATACAGCAGTCACATATCGGTTACAGAAGTTACTGCGCAATTAAACACATTCATCTGCTAAAGCCTTAAGTGGACTAAAACTACAGAGTCCTTGTATTGTGACCAATTTTCAAATATATTACTTAATAAATCTTTTAAGATCACACTAGATATATCTTCTGGTAGGTCTGTACTTGAACCAGGACTTCCGAATGAACCTCTATCGGCTTCATTTCACCGAGACGGTCATTGTCGATGATAGTTCCATTGGCGACAACAATCAAACATGCCCGTGCTCTTGTCAGGGTGACGTTCGTGCGACGATTATCTGCAGCGAAGCCTAAATGAGACTTTGTTTCCGAGTAAACGGCCCAATGCAATGTAACGATATGGGTCTGATTCCTGACCCTGTATATGATTAACAGTGGCAAGTTTGATCATATCTTCCCAGGCTATATTGAGCCTTCCCGATAACTTCGTCATTCGACGAAGGTACTCTCTCTTCTGGTCAGAGTACGTTGTGACGATAGTATATGTTGTTCCTTTTAGCGCATCACGTCTGGTAACAAACTCCACAGGCTCCATAACCACGTCAACATTGGTAATGGTCTTGAACGGTCCCTCTCGTTAATCACGGTCTGCACGTCTGCTTACTTTCCACAATTGCTCTGTCGGGTTGAGCTGGTCGGATTCAGCTTTTGAAACAGACGTGGAAGCTTCGAAGATTCTGAGAAGGCTGGCTTTGCTGAAGGAGGCATGAACTTTCCAGTCTAAAGGATTATGGCTTGGACATATTGACGCAGGGCAAGGATCAGCCCAGAAAAGTATATGTCAGGCGAGCCCTAGCCAACCTCCAACATCGGGCGTGGTCGACGAAATATCAATAATTCTATATTCTTCGACGGGTCTAGATACCGGGAATCGAATTTATCTGCTCTTCAGACCAGTGCAGTATCGTCGATAGTCTGACTATCGTAAAGAGTAGAGAATACAGTTTCGTTGGATGCCGGGCAGGACGATTTGTGGTGGCGATAGTCGACAGAAGGAGACCCAGTTATACTGGTTGATTCATCGACCATGGTACCATTCTGAAAGTTATAGATCCGCAGTAAACCCTGCATGTTTGTTTGTGTTGGAGAGCAATGGATACCAGTGTAACAGGTTTCTTTTTTTGTCGGTGATAGAGGTAAGGACCGATGTACTAAGTGTTAGGATAGCACCCAGCAATACTGATTTTGCTTGTATACTAGGTCACGACATGGTATGAAGTCGGTCTGTCCGAAGTAAAGAGAGGATTATATATATATAGTGGTACATAGCATAGAGGGAGAGAGAGAAGAAGAGAGATGAGACGAAGCAGTCCAGCCGTAAATAGAAAGAGATAAGTGAGTGAATGAATAAAGATTAATAGAGACTGGAGAACGACCCTTCTTATTCATCAGGGTAGAACAATCACAGTATGTGCAGGAATGGTTTCGAATCACCTCTAGCGCTTAGTAAAGGTCCATATGGTATATGCAGGGAATACTGGTATCAAAACCCGCTCCCATAGCGCTTCATAAGTGAATTCTCCAGATACTGCCTGACAGAGCTTGCCAGAAGAATCAGGGAACTGCCGGAGACTGGAAGGGAAGAAACCGAGAATGCTGTAAGAGAGTCGGTAGTATATAGGACGGAAGATGACGGGTAGAGAAGGAACTTGCCGGGCACATGTACTGCCATTACAGCTACTACATGAATGGCAGCTCTTCTGGTGTAGTAAGTTCCTCTCCTTAAATCTACAGATATCTAAAGTCTTTCAATATCTCTCCGGCAAATCAACACTCACACTCCTGATGGATACAGTTGAAATTGTCTTTCTTTCTGCAGACGTCCCGAGAAATTTAGCTGCTAAGACAAACAGAGTCTTTTATTTCTGATATTTACCACTTATACTACTGTGATATATGTTTATTCTCAACTATGAAGGAGACAGAATTGCGGAGAGCAGCATATATAGTGGGCCGGTTGTTCATCAATGGCTACTACTAGTATATACCTAGCCAGCAGTAACAAGAAAAATAGGGATATGGAAAGAAAAGGAAGCATATACATATACCATAAAACACCAATCCAATCCATCAACTCCGAAAATAAGTAACCAAACAGTCAGATCCCGTCCGACGCAGACAAAATAACGCTTTTCACAGCTTGTATATATGAACCGGACACACATGGCGTATAAACAATCAAACAATCAGCAATGCATGTGCGTAAGTACCCCCAGACCCAAAACATTTGGGGAACAAGTATAATAATCATGAAACATCCCCAATGGAAGGATGCATATATCCCTTATCAGGCAGCATCATGTCTCGTAAAAAGTACATCGTTATAGTGCGTAATAATAGCTCGACAATAATCTCTTAAAGCCGTTAAGTCGTCGAATCGATCAAACAATCGTAGTCTCGTGGTTTTCGTGACAGGAGTGCTTCTATGAAAGCAGAAGAAAGTTGGGCCACTTTCAATTCGGGAGTTTAGCCCTCAGCTTCACCACCGCTTTCCTCGTCAACTGCGCGTTTCCGGGAGTGCGCGATGCGGTTTTTCATTGTATGGATGAAGTATCCAGCGATGGCAAGGATGATGAATAGGACGATGATGATGACGGCGATGGCAATGTTTTCTTTCATTTTGTCTTTTTCTTTCCTGTATGTTTTGGTTGTGGTAGGTCTCTTTCAAAATGGGAGAATAAAGTTCGAAAAGACGTGGTCTCAACTGTTCCAACAGAAATGGAAAGAGGTGGTTTTTGTTGCGGTGGTGGTGGTGGTGGTAGTGGTGGTGGAGATGCAGGTATAGATCCCAATCGATTTATCGATAAGATATGGATATGGATAGCCGATCGGAATGTAGATAGTAAACAATGGGTGTGGAATTCCACCCTGACAGAGCTTGTATATAGAAAACCCTGAACAACCCCAATTCAGATAGCACGGGGAATGGGGAAGAAAGGGAAGAATGAAAAGGCACGCAGCTCCCGATTATAAAAGGGGAATTGGCGTGGACGTGGACGTGGCCCAGCCATGTTGATTTTTGCTCCCCTGTTGCGGGTGGCTGGGGATAAGAAAGGATCCATGATTGCTGAGCTTATTGGACGCTAAGAGCGTTAGTGCGCGGGTTGGGCGCAGTGGAGTGATGCTTGCTTGTTCTGCCATCTGGTGCCGCCTTGGGGGTTGTTAAGAACAGCTGCTTCATTTTGGACTTTGCTTGATCGTGATCCTGGAGATGGTGAAAAACAGCTTCCAAATAGCTAGTGTAAGTTACACTGCGCAATGCCAGCAGATTGTCTCATTGACATGAAATTCAAACAGTAAGTGATGCCCTTTGAAAGACTCAGATTCACTCTTCGTGTCCCCCATGTTCATTCCAAGCCACTTTATACTATGACATAGTATCTCCAACCAGAATGTAATAACCACTTAGCAAGGCAAGGAGACTATACATGCAGCAAATTTACTATGCAATACCACCGAAAAGCAAGCATCATGTCTACTAGTAGTTTATACCTCCCTTGGTTCTGAACAACATGTCAGCCATCATCCGGGTAAGAAACCAGACTAATCTCAGCAGCAGACCTAACAGCAAGTACACACTCAGCCTAGCTTACCACTCTAAGCAACCCCTCACTTATTCGTCTCCACCACCTCCCCAATCATAGCAATACTCAACATCTTCCGATCAAAGAACCGCTCCTCATCCTCCGCAATCTGCGCCGCCGCCTCTGGAGCCGTCACCTTGGCCATGAAAGCTTGGAAAGAAGGCTGATCAGCAAAGGTCAACTCCGCCGTCGTATCAAAGTCAAAGTCCGACTGCTGGCCCAGAAGGAGAGTCGCCGGGGTTGTGGCGTTGCGGGCCGTCGCCCCAGCAGGTGGGGAATCGACGGTCGTGCGAGCGATATAGGTCCGGCGGTGGGAGAGGGGGAAGTCTTCGCCGGAAATACGTCTCACAAGATCGATGTGGGCTTCGTAGCGCTCTCGGAACGTGGATAGGGAGAGGCCGGGCTTGCGGTAGCCGTAGATGAAGACGCGGACAGTCATTTTAGTAGGAGGGTGTGGATGGTTATATTACGGAGTAGGAAATGAAAATGTGACCAAGGGGGTGTGTGGTTCTGATGCAGTTTTGAGGGGTAATATGTGCTATGTACCTGGGTTTGGGTACATGAACTGGATTGTAGGTGGGGTTATCAGGCACGGACTATATCGGAAGATGGTGCATACCAAGTGCTGTCTCTTGGATTGTTATGACTGGTAGAGTGGTGTAGTGCTTAAGGCGGGTTATTAACTTTCTTTCTGGGGTTTGGATGGAACGATATCAACGGGGCAGAGAAGTGGATGAATCATACTAGAGACTGGCGCATTCGAGAGAGATGAAATACAACTCAAAATGTGTGAGGGTAAATGGATATCTAGCAATAGTGATGGTTGCTGCAGGCAAGGGTACATAGTGCCACAACGACAGATGCGGAGATATACGGGTCGACGGAAAGGGTATAGAGACCAAAATATTCATAATATCCCATAATTAGCCAAAAACAAAGAGGGGAGGCCAAAGATCCATAGGGAGGATATGTTAGGGCGAGAAAAAGAATGACCAGTCTGGGGCTCGATCCCAGGACCTTATCGGTGTTAACGATACGTGATAACCAACTACACCAACCAGCCATTGTTGTATATCTGACGCAATATTTGGGTATATGAGCTTCCGACTGCTTTACTCGCTGCCTGACACACGCTAGAAAACCAAACGCGCTAACTCAAGGCTACCAATGAAACCCTCCTACTCAGTAGTCACATCAAACAAAGAGCGCCTCGAGAATGACTGTTGTAATTAAAATTATGATCTGCGGTAGCCGCAGCCGCTTACTCCGAACTGGCAATGGTATGCAGTTGGTCTGGGCTCTTCGGAACTTGACATTCCCCAGCACGTCCGGATGTCACGGTCATAGCATGGGAATGGCGTCACCACTTCCGCTTCAAGCTGGCATTCCGGCTCGACTGCAGGGGTTTACTTTGGAATTGTAATAGTCAGGATGACTTAAATAGTAGGTATTACGTGGAGATGGGCAGTTACTTGAACCCCCCTTCGCTTGCGGGTCAGACGGTTAGATATTTTAAGAACGACAGATATTATTATCATCGCATGTCAACCAGTTATATCACCCTGATGCGCACTACTGTGTACACCAACTGATGGCGCGGAGACCCGTGGTTTCAGTGGTCGAACTAGCCGCCAGCCCATGAGTTCCCCGGACCCTGGCTTCCGCGCGTCAGGGCTAGCACCAGGTGGATTAACAATTAACAATCGAAGGAATTTGGAAATTCACAACGGAAATACAACCCTCCAGCGACCCAGGCCACTCATAAAGAGTCACCAAAGTGTCCAGGCAAAAGCCAGGCGAGACAGCTGAGACCCGCTCGGCGCCGTTCCACTTCATTAGCCCCAGATCTAATAGACTAGCCACCTAGGCCTAGGCAGAGATTCAGGGGAATTGAAAAAGACTGGGGAGATTGCCTGGTCACCTTTCACGATCCGGTCGACCTTCTGTCTGGCCCAACTAAAAATGTTTCTATTCACATCACAGAAACGGTTCGGCCGGTTGATTCTCTATGCGCTGGGGGTGCTCGGGATCATCCTCATCCTCTGGCAGTTGCCCTATGCTCGGCCCACCGTGCGGATAGGAGCTAGACGCGCCCGGTCACAGTTCGAGGCGATCAGGAACGAAACTTTGGGGGTATTTCCTTCCAATGATGTTGATATTAGCCCCCATTCTAATTATGTATAGGTCCAGAAAATATTCGCGATCAACTTGCCTAGCAGGGTTGACAAGCGCGACAATCTTGTCCTCGGTTCTTCAGTCAGTGGGTTTAACATCGACTGGGTAAACGGTATCACTCCCGACGAGGTTGACCCCAGGACGTACCCTTATGTGAGTCCATGATCTATTTCCGATGGGATGCCTGCCACTGACAATTCAGAACTGGAACTATGACCATAAACCTACCGAGTATGGTGCTCGACGGGCTCATGTGAACGCCATGCAACGGTATGCGACAGTCTGCCCCCCTTTCCGTACATCTGGCTAACGATGCATTCCCAGAATTGTTCATGAAAGGATAGGAAGTGCCATGATCATGGAGGATGATGTCGACTGGGACGTCAATCTCAAAACCCAGCTACAGAGCTTTGCTCTCGGTGTACGGGCTCTCCAAGGGGCGGATAAGAAGGTGATCGCTTCGCCCTACGGTGATGACTGGGACATCATCTGGCTTGGTCACTGTGGCATGGAGTGTCGAACTAATGAGCCATATTTCGTGAGCTCAAACGATACAACCGTCCTTCCACCACATCACTTTCTTCCCTACTGGCGCGATCCGCCTCCGTTCGGGATACCAGACTACACCCGTCTGACCTGCGCGGTCAATGATGCTGTTTGCTCCATAGTCTATGCTGTGAGCTATCATGGTGCTCAGAAGATCTTGTCTGCTCTTTCTGTGAACCCAACAGGCCTCGCAGACAAAATCGACATTGGCGCCCAGTTCGACGTATCGCTCGGTCGCATGTGCGGTAATGGCTATCTCCGGTGCTTTGCGGTCTACCCATCCTTAGCAGGTGGATATCATCCTGCTGGGCCCTCCTCGAAGGAATCTGATATTCATGGCGGGAATGAGGATGTCCATCCTGTCTCCAGTCACGGGGTTATGTACAGTACGATGCTGAACATCAACCGCATACTAAACGGTGAGGATACGGTTGTTTCCAATTGGGATGACGCCCCTGCTCCAGTGATTAACCCGGCGAACGTCTCAGTGGTTGGGGGAACGATGCACATGCTGCAAGAGAACGACATGTATACTCTTTCGGTTGTCAACCCATAACCAAAAGTTAGGCATAGGCCTGCGGCTTTGAAAATCTTGCTCAATGATGTATATAGACTTGCTTTACTTTCAAAGATACCTACATTAATATGATTGGCCTTTTGGTTTCGTCTATATCTCGGGATTAAGAATCTCCATTCTTGCGTCGCATATAACTAAGATGAATCTAATTAAACAGGGAACTACCACCCAGTGTCTCATTGAGTAGCTATTGCCTAACGAAAGATATCATAACATCATGTCACTCGTATGGTCCGAATCTCTAATTCAAAAAAGAAGTAATCATATCCTTCCGAGTGAACCCAACCACCCTCGACCTAATATCAACAATCATCATTATGACATCCAGCAACAGTATCCAAACCGTCCTATCCGTCCGCCGCATCCTAGAACGCATCCTCCTTGACTTGGACATGCGCACGCTCCTTACCTCCGCCCCCCGCGTCAATCGTTTTTGGAATTTTCTGACTCGTGACTCACGCCCCATCCAAGAAGCATTATTCTTCCAACCAGTTAAGAGCCGCAGCCATGAATCCACCATAAGACTCCTCAACCCCTTACTAGCAGAAGCCTTCCCGGGTATCTTCCAACGGAATAGTATTGTTTTTCCCGAGCACACAGAATCCAAACACACCTTCGATACTCTCGACATGGTCAAAGATCCCGACAGGGCGGAAGTATACATGCGAGAAGACGCAAGTTGGCGCTATATGCTGGTCCAGCAGCCTCCCGCGCGTAAATTGTGGATTGTTAGCCATTGTGGAGATGATACGGGGTTTTGTGAGAGGTGTGAGATACAGGTGCGTCTACTGAATTTACTTCAATGTGGTGAGGGTTTCTGGCTAAAATTTATAGGGTCGGAAAGTAAGCGAGACCGGACCAGAACTTCCAGACGACGGCCTCCGCATGGAAATGCTCTTCGAGATCCTCGTGTTTCATAGTGACTTCTATGGCGTGATGGATTTTGCTACCGTTTACTGGTGGGGAGATCGGGCAGGCTCTTGGGTACGGGAATGTATGGAGGGTATGGGTATATGTAACGCCTCGGCAGCACCGGATCTGATTTTGTATGCTCCGCTGTTTATACCTGGTCCTCGTCATTTGATTCGGAATATTGAGGGTAAGGGTCAGACTCCGGCTTTGGATTATCTTCGTTCTTTCTATTGGGATAATGGGATACAGCCTAACTTGAATGTAAGGAATGGGTGGGAAACCATTGTCAAAAGACGGAGGAGATGGGTTGTTTGATGGATGTATCTGGTATGGATACTGTGTAGATAAGCTCAGGTAATAGCATTCGTACCAGTTGTATAATACCGCAGGTGGCAAAATCACGTACTGGGAGCATATGTCCATACTACTCCTTGATATATGTCCGGAACAAATTTGCCAGTTCAAAGAAACTAGCCTTGTAGAAGCGCTCTTGCGTGGTCAAATTGACATACTACAAAACAACAGAGTTAGTAATACCCATTTTCCTACAGAAGGAAAGTAAACTCACCTGCAATCCAAACTTAACAGTAAACCCCGCAGTCCACTCAATATTATCAGCAATGCTCCAAGCCGAACATCCCACAAGTTTAACCCCCTCGGCGACAGCCATCAACATTGCCTGCACATAGTCGTGGTAATAGAGCGTCCTCAAAGGATCCGTCAATATATCCTCGCGCAGAGTCTTATACGCCTCAAACGGCTCCGAAAATCCGAACTCAGTGATGGCTATGCCATTCTCGGGCTTCCACGTATCCTGGATATAGTGCAGGAACTGAGGCAGCCACTCAGTAGCCTTATGAAGCCAGCGGGTATTAGGATCGGACGCCGGGCCAACAAGCCAACCGCCTTCGGATTCTGACAACGTATAGGAGGAATTATAGCATTCCGGGTATAGGCTGTTACTGGGGTCAGACAGACACCCCTCGATCCCTGCATCAGGTGCCATGTAGTATGCCGCTGTGTAGGCGTCGTGCGCGAAGTAATCACTTGCTCCCTTGATCATGTCCCGCTCTTCGGTCGTGAACTCGGGTAAGAAGCTCGAGGTGAAGTTCTTCAGCCGGGATGGATAGTCGCCTAGGAACAGGGGGTCCGCGAACCATCCTTCGTTGAATGCCCAGGCGCGCTCGACGGCTTCTGCGTCTTCCGGGGAAGCAGTTCGAGGGAGCTTGTAGCCGCCGTTATTCTTGATGCTGATGGGGGCTGTGATGTTCATTGAACGTGCAAGTTGGTATGTTTTTCCCGCGGCGATAAGCATGTAGTGTCCGCACCAGTAGGGTTGCTGGACGTCGGGGATGGACGTGGTGCGCGGGAAATATCCATCTGGTACTGGGTATTCGCCGCAGAAGGAGTGCGGTTCGTTGAATGTGTACCATTGCCAGACTTTGTCGCCCCATCGCTCTAAGAGGACCTTGGCATAGGCGACGAAGTCGTCGACGATCTTTTCGCTTGTCCAGCCTCCGTAGGAGAGCTGGAGGTATAAGGGCAGGTCCCAATGGTACAGTGTCACTTGGGGTTTGACGCCGTATTCTAGGCAGGTGTTGATTACGTCGTCATAGTACTGCAGACCTGCTTCGTTGATGGGGCCGTTGCCGAAGGGGAAGATTCTGGACCAGGAGACAGAGAAGGAGTATGCTGGTACGCCCATCGCGGCGATGCGTTGGATGTCTACGGTATTGACATATTAGAGAGATAAAGCTTTTCGGGCTTGATAGGAGGAGTACCTTGCTTGTACATGTAATACTGGTTAATCGCGACATCTCCTGTCTGGTTGTCGGCTACGCTCATGGCTCGGTGGGTAAATGCATCCCATAAGCTAGGGCCCCGGCCATCTGCTTTGACGGCCCCTTCGACTTGATATGAGGCGCTTGATACGCCCCACCAGAACCCTTTGGGGAATGACCAGCTTTCGTTTCTTCCTAGTCCTGGGATCTGGGCTCCTGGTAAGTAGGAGGGGTAGTAGAGTGGGGGAGGGGGGATCAGTTCGGCAGATGGAATTGGAGTAGGTTCAACGGTGGTGTTGATCGAGGCAGTCTCAACGGGGCCAATATATAGGTTCCATAAATCTGGAGTATTTGTTAGGTGTACTTGTATTCAATAGGAAGATGTGCAGTGGATAGTTTCCACCTTCTACAGTGATGTTCAGAGTGGTCCCCAGAGGGGATGCAGCTGTAGAACTGGCAGTGCTGGAAACTGCAGCTGCATTACTACTAGCAAGCAGCAGCCCTAGGCAGAGGACGTGAGGATGCATTATGAAATTCATTAGGGGTCCGAAGGAATAAACCTCTTGATCTAACCCTCAGGAATCAGATCCGCATTTGCGAAGAGCTGCTTTTTAAACCTCTGTGCTGTTCGACCTCTGAACTTGGCTCATTTAGCCGGAATATGTACAGCGAAGACTAGCGGGGCAAACATTCAGTCCGTTTCCGAGATCTTCGCACAGGAATATTTATGGAAGATCTGCGTCGGCGGGGAAACTGGATAAATATCCATTCTAGCCAAGTATTTGAGAGGGGAAAAGGCATCCCTTCTCATTGATCCGGTTAATCGTCGGACGTCAATCAAATCTGCTGCACTTCCCTTGATATAATGTACGAGGGTGGCCATGCTGCCGTTTATTCTGCCACCAAGAAGAGGGCATTGTTAGTGCTTGTTGCTAATCTCCGGACTCCAATAATATTAAAGGGAAGGGTGAAGAGAAGGAGGTGGGAAGTTAGTGGAGAAGAGGCGGAAAAGAGAAGAGCGAAGAGAGAAGAGAGTAGAGAGTGAGGCGGAAAAGCAGAGGGGCAGCTCTACTCTCTCCTCCTCTTGACGCAGCCAAGCCATCTTTCTTCCTCTTTCACCCCCTTCATTCATTACCCACACCTGCACCCCAGCAATGCTGTCAAATGTGGGACCGGGCAAATAAACTGCAACGCTGGGATTTGCCCCATTGATCAAAGATCATCCAGCCTGGGCTTATCTATAGAACAATCCAGCCTCCTCTTCAAGTGGCTGATAGCTTCATACCTGGGCTGATTTGGTTTCAAGCAAAATGTGGGAAAGTACGCGCTCTAATTCCCCCACTCTGTCTTGCTCCTTGCTTCAATTCTATGACCGTTACAATGCCTTCAGTCACTCAAGACAATGGAGGACTAATAGAAATCGCATCCGATCACCGATCTGGTCCAGATCCGCAGATGATGACCTCACCATGATCCACGGAATCAACCGACGACATCAAGCTTAAGCCATGGTTCACTCAGGGTCTTTCCCCCCACCTTCCTTCATGACTCGAACTGGTCTCATCACTTGATGCATGCTTATTCGATCCCTCGATCGGCATTTCGGTCCTCATGTTGTCCGACCCATACTTCACTCTGCTTGTGGAAAGCTAGAGCTCGGTGGTGAAGTTGCATCGGTCTTGACGAAGCTCCGACAATGCCGGTACTTAACACGGAATGCAGAGTGTAGAGATAAAGACACAGGGAGATTCCTTGCATTCGCTCATCCCTCGGTCGAGTTTCTTCTCGAGTTTCGATTCGACATCGGGTATTGTCTCCGCCGTTACTTTCACTGCAATGCTATAGTCCCGGTAGCTATCATCGCATCACTATCAACATGGACTCGGGACGCTCCCCTCCCCACGAGCAAAGCTCTGTTCTCGAAGAAGATAAAAAAACGTCACTGGATTCTTCTTCCGGTTCAAGCTCAAGTGCATCGCCTAGCTCGGGGCTCTCTAGAAAGCAATCGGCTATTCCTGTTGAGCATCAAGTCTCGAATGAAAATTTGATCCGACAAGAGTCCTCACTTCAGAGGCAGCTCACGCAACAGGATATTGCTCGCGCCCTTTCTCAACGACGTAGCACTGGGGCTGCGGGGGCCGACGATACGGATCAGATAGCGAGGCTGGTCTCGCGAATGTTTGGCCAGGAAAGAAAGGCCAACTCAGAAGAGGAAAAGACAAGACATCTTGGTGTAGTATGGAAAGACCTGACTGTCAAAGGTGTTGGTCTAGGAGCGGCCCTCCAGCCCACAAACACTGACATCCTCTTGGGTTTACCGAGGTTGATCAAAGGCCTACTCACCGGCGGAAGGAAGAGCGCACCACTGAGAACTATTCTGGATGACTTCAACGGATGTGTACGGCCTGGGGAAATGCTTCTGGTTCTTGGTCGCCCGGGGTCCGGTTGCTCTACGTTTCTGAAAGTCATTGGGAATCAACGATCGGGCTACAAAAGCGTGGAAGGTGATGTTCGCTACGGAGGTGCAGATGCCGAAACCATGGCAAAGAATTACCGTTCGGAGGTCCTCTACAACCCCGAAGACGACCTCCACTATCCTACGCTCACCGTACGCGACACCTTGATGTTTGCCCTCAAGTCAAGAACCCCGGACAAATCTTCACGACTGCCTGGTGAAAGTAGAAAGCATTACCAGGAGACATTCCTTTCTACCATCGCCAAGTTGTTCTGGATAGAGCATGCACTGGGGACCAAGGTCGGCAATGAACTTATTCGCGGAGTTTCTGGAGGAGAGAAGAAGCGTGTGTCTATTGGCGAAGCCCTAATCACAAAAGCTAGCACGCAATGCTGGGACAATTCCACCAAAGGCCTCGATGCTAGCACGGCTCTGGAGTACGTGGAAAGCTTGAGAAGCTCAACAGACATGGCACATGCCTCTACACTTGTGGCTCTCTACCAAGCCTCGGAAAATCTTTACAATCTCTTCGACAAAGTCATGTTGATTGAGGAAGGCAAATGTGCCTACTACGGGCGCACCGAGAATGCAAAGGCATACTTCGAGCGTTTGGGGTTTGTGTGCCCTCCTCGGTGGACCACACCGGATTTCTTGACATCTGTCAGTGACCCATATGCGCGACGTATCAAGGAAGGCTGGGAGGATCGAGTTCCGCGTTCCGGAGAAGACTTTCAGAGAGCGTATCAAAAGAGCGAGATATGCAAGGAAGCCAAGGCAGATATTGAAGATTTTGAAAAAGAGATCGAGTCGGAGCAGCGGGCGTGTGAGCAGGCCAGAGAAAGGAAAAGAAAACAAAACTATACGGTGTCTTTCTATAAGCAGGTTATTATACTGACTCAACGGCAATTCCTCGTCATGTATGGAGATAAGCAGACACTCATCGGGAAATGGGTGATGCTCACGTTCCAGGCACTCATCATCGGCAGTCTCTTCTATGATCTGCCCCCGACTAGGTCAGTCTCGCTTTTCCTTTACCGATCTCACTTGCCAAGTAATTACTGACAAAAATATAGCGCTGGTGTCTTCACTAGAGGCGGTGTCATGTTTTATGTACTTCTATTCAATTCCCTGCTGGCTATGGCAGAGCTTACGGCTCTTTATGGAAGCCGACCCGTCATATTAAAACATAAGAGTTTGTGAGTGGGACAATGTAGCGATATTTCAGCAGTAGGCTAACTCGATCAGCTCCTTCTATCGTCCAGCGGCATATGCCTTAGCTCAAGTGGTCGTTGATGTCCCCATTGTCTTCGTTCAGGTCACCATTTTCGAGCTAATTGTATACTTGTATGCAACTCTACCGCGTTTGCTGTTGATTGAGGCTTACCATTCTTTTCAGCATGTCAAATCTTTCGCGGACCGCGTCTCAGTTTTTCATTAACTTCTTATTCGTTTTCATTCTGACCATGACCATGTACTCATTCTTCCGGACTATCGGAGCTCTGAGTGCTTCTCTCGACGTTGGTATGTAAAACAAAGACAAAAAGCTATTCCCTACGTGAGCTAACTGAAAACTGTAGCCACCCGCGTAACTGGAGTTTCTGTCCAGGCGCTGATAGTATATACCGGTAAGGGATATCAGCCACTTACTGAAAACTACTTACTGAAATTACCCAGGATACCTCATTCCCCCATGGAAAATGCACCCTTGGCTCAAATGGTTAATTTGGATCAATCCATTGCAGTACGCTTTTGAGGCGATTATGTCAAATGAATTCTACGATTTGAATTTGCAGTGTGTCTCCCCATCCATATTTCCGGATGGACCCAGTGCACAGCCCGGCAACCAAGTTTGTGCGATTCAAGGAAGTACGCCAAATCAGCTTGTTGTCCAGGGATCAAACTACATAGAGGCTGCTTTCACGTACAGTCGATCACACTTATGGCGAAACTTTGGTATTGTCATAGCTTGGTTCGTCCTTTTCGTATGCTTGACAATGGTCGGAATGGAGCTCCAGAAACCCAACAAAGGAGGCAGCACGGTTACAATCTTTAAGAAAGGCGAGGCGCCGGAGGCTGTGCAGGAGGCTGTCAAAAACAAGGAACTTCCGGGGGATGTAGAAACGGGAAGTGATGGGGCAGGAGCCACCAGCGGGTTTCAAGAGAAAGGTACAGACGATTCCAGTGATGAGGTGCATGGAATCGCGCGAAGCACATCGATATTTACCTGGCAAGGTGTAAACTACACGATTCCCTACAAAGATGGCCAGAGAAAGCTACTACAAGATGTTCAGGGATATGTCAAGCCGGGTCGCCTCACTGCGTTAATGGGTGCTTCTGGGGCTGGGTAAGTGACTTCTGTTCCCTAAGATCTGTAGGTGATTTACTGACAGTTTCTCAGCAAGACGACGCTTCTCAATACTCTTGCCCAGCGGATAAATTTTGGCGTTGTCACAGGTACTTTTCTTGTTGACGGAAAGTGAGTACCGGCCTGAAGACCACCTTTACAGCAAATGCTTACGCTCGCAGGCCCCTTCCCAAAAGCTTCCAAAGAGCAACTGGCTTTGCTGAGCAAATGGATATTCACGAGCCTACTGCGACTGTCCGGGAATCGCTCCAGTTCTCGGCCCTCCTTCGTCAGCCAAAGGAGGTACCTATCAAGGAGAAGTACGAATATTGCGAGAAGATAATTGATCTCCTTGAAATGCGGCCAATTGCAGGTGCTATAGTCGGCGAGGGGGGCGCTGGACTGAACGCTGAGCAACGCAAAAGACTTACTATCGCAGTTGAGCTAGCAAGTAAGCCTCAATTACTACTATTCTTAGACGAGCCAACGTCTGGATTGGACTCCTTGGCTGCTTACAACATCGTGCGTTTTCTTCGACGCCTTGCCGATGCCGGACAGGCCATTCTGTGCACGATCCACCAGCCCTCTGCCGTCCTTTTTGAGCAGTTTGATGAACTGCTATTGTTGCAAAGTGGAGGAAGAGTCGTCTACAATAATGAGCTCGGCACGGATTCCAAGAAACTGATCGAGTACTTTGAGCAGAATGGGGCCAGAAAATGCTCCCCTCATGAGAACCCCGCCGAGGTAGCCTCGTACTCACGTGTGCCATCATATACAATGCTAACTTGTGGCAGTATATGCTCGATGTTATCGGCGCCGGTAACCCGGATTACAAAGGGCAGGACTGGGGTGATGTCTGGGCCAGATCTACTCAGCACAAGCAGGTTTCGCAAGAGATCGAGAATATCATCCAGGAGCGACGCAACAGGGAAGTTGAAGGAGAAAATGATGACAATCGGGAATATGCAATGCCCATCTGGGTGCAGATATTGACTGTCTCCAAGCGCAGCTTCGTAGCATACTGGCGAACCCCTCAATACGCCTTGGTGTGTCCCCAAAACTTTACTGCGTCTCTATCAAACTTCTAACCAGTCTGCAGGGCAAATTCTTGCTTCATATCTTCACCGGGCTCTTCAACACTTTCACTTTCTGGCACCTCGGAAGCAGCTACATTGACATGCAGTCTCGAATGTTCTCCATCTTCATGACGCTCACAATAGCGCCGCCTCTAATCCAGCAACTACAGCCACGATTCCTCCATTTCCGCAATCTATACGAATCACGAGAAGCTGGCTCAAAGATTTACTCATGGACTGCATTTGTAACGAGCGCAATATTGCCGGAACTACCTTACTCAGTCGTCGCAGGGTCGATATATTTCAACTGCTGGTGAGTTTATTTACCTTTCCCTACCTTCGAAAGACGAATCAACCTAATCCGCTCCAGGTATTGGGGGGTCTGGTTCCCACGGAACTCATTTACGTCCGGTTTTATCTGGATGTTCCTGATGCTCTTTGAACTGTTTTATGTCGGCCTCGGTCAATTCATCGCAGCCTTCTCACCAAACCCGCTTTTTGCCTCTCTCCTCGTGCCTACTTTCTTCACATTCGTCCTATCTTTCTGCGGTGTCGTTGTACCATACTCTAGCCTGAATGTTTTCTGGAGATCATGGATGTACTGGCTCACACCATTCCATTATCTTCTAGAAGGCTTCTTGGCCGTCGTTGTGCATGGTGTTCCCGTCCGCTGTGTTCCCAGAGAAGCATCGGAATTCAGCCCACCCTCTGGAATGACGTGCCAGGAGTATGCCGGATCCTACGCAAGCCAGATAGGCGGATACGTCCAAGACGCTGGCAACGGTCTCTGTGCCTTTTGTCAGTACTCAGTTGGTGATGTCTTTGTATGTTTATACCTATCCTACCCTTATGATAGGGAGACCGCAGACACTAATGCCTTACTCCCAGGCCCGGAATTACAACGTTTACTACTCGCACAAATGGCGTAATTATGTATGTTTCTATCCCCAGCGCTTTCTTCGAGGGTAATATGTTCTAACCTGATTGATTTTCAATAGGGCATATTCTGGGCCTTCGTGATTTTCAATTTCATGGCCGTCTTCTTCTTTTCGTGGCTTTATCTTCATGGCGTAAGAAACATGAAGAAAAGTATTAGTGCACGGAAATCGAAGAAGGCCGTGAAACAGTGATGGGGGGTGATATGATATCATCACATTTCTACTGTACTACTAGTATATTCTAATATTGCTTAATTTCTCTTATGCACACAATCTTGGCACCAGTTACTCTGCGACTCAGTTTGTCATTTTGCTTATTTTCAAGTTCTGAAGGATGTATAATGTTATCATGTGTAACCTTAGTAATATATATCAGCCAGGGAGGGCATAATGCTATAATTTGCACATTAGATACTCTGCCAATCTTATTTTTTCTTTTTCGATAGATGAGAAAAGTGAAAATGCAGCGGTAGTGCCATATTGGATATTTACATCCAGCAGAGTGTATGCTAGGTTTCTCTCTTTCTCCTCCCAAAGATAGTATGGAAAAAATCGTAGTCCAACACCAATCTTCATAATGGTATGAAGTCTTGGTAGCTAGCTTGGTGGATCTCCAAGATCATATGCAACAACACATTGATCGAATGAACACGCACACACGACGATATATTCCCTCTTCATTTAGGAGCCATACTCTGGAGCTGCCTCCAAGAAGGATATGATATGTCCATCAAAGGCCAACGATAGAGTTTTACCCAGAGCAGGATGGCGGGGGCGTGGGACCTGCAGGGTTGGCCGGGTTTGAAGCTATGCCGGATGGTTGGGCACTAGTTGTAGTCCAGGAAGTAGTGGAGGGGGGAGCGGCAGCGGGTCCCTGGTTCGTAGCCGTAGTCGTGGTTGTAGATGTAGAAGGAGGGGGCCCAGTAGGAGCAGGGGCACCGTCAGGAGCGTGCGGAGGGTTCTCGATGTGGTGACCGTTCATCAGGCGAGGCCGTTTAGCTTGCGGACCGTCGTCGGGACTCCGGGTGCTGTCGTGTTGGTGCATATAGGGCGAGGTCTGCTGGCTAGGAGGCGCGGAGGGTCCACCACCGCTCGTGTTTGAGGGGGATGGGCCGGGGCTCAGGGCCGACGGGGGATTCAACATCCTGGAACGGGTTGGGTCGTCGCTGCTGGTTGCGGGTGCGGTGGTAGTTGGGGGGTGTCTGGGTTCTGCGCTGCGATATTCATCCTGTATGCTGTTTGCGTAACCGATGCCGACGCGGCCCATGCCTCTGTCGTGCATAACGACCCGTTTCCATTTCGCGACGACATTGTCGTAGTCCCAGCGAGAGGCGGTAGGGCTGATTTGGCTCTCCTTGGCATCGAGTTCTCGGGCGACGTCTCGTGGTAGTGGGAGCGTGTCGGGAGGGAAGATTGCGAATTCCCTTGGCCATTGGCAGGAGCCTAGTCTTTCTACCTGGGCACGAAGTTGGTTTGCCTCCTGTTGGACGCGCGCGAGCTGGTCATCCAGCGACTTTCGCTTTTCCATTTCTCTTGCGAATGCGCGCGTGATTTCGAGCTGCCATGCGTCTCTCCTTGCATCTGTCGGCAGTGAGGCCCAGTGCTTGAATGCCAACTCCAAGTGCCGCAGACTTAAGTCTTCGTGCTGCTGCGCGCTCCGGCTGATCATATTCGAATCTAGGCCTAGGCTTGGCCTCCCTGACTGGGAGTTGTTGTTGGACTCGGCGGTGCGCTGATCCGACTGCCATTGATCGATCTTCGCGCGAAGTGCTTGCCGGACAATGTCCAGATGCTCCACTCCCGGCGGCTGGAGAGGGAATGATGACGGAGACGGGAATGGACTTGTTGCGAATAGACTGGGAGGGGGAGGCAGCAACTGCAGGCAGAGGGAAGGGAACGTTTGCGCCTGAATGTCGAAATCGAACGGGGAGAGTCTGGGGCGCATCCTGGAACTATAGAGCATATTAAAATTAGCCCTCCAGTCGATCATGTACTAACAATGCCGTCGAATGAAAGCGCAGTTAGCAATGCCAGGTGATGTACATACGTTGCAGCTTTGATATTATCCAGTACTTCGCGCAGAGCCAGCTCCAATGCCCTCATGGTATCTGGATTATTCGAGCCACCTCTATCCGGAAATGAAAGCGGCCCAGTGCGTGATTGCGAGGGCGCAATGCGCGAGTGAGACGAGCTATTATCCTGTGACTGGCTAGGATTGGGTATATCGTTGATCACACCGGTCGCATGCCACGTAGGCGTGTTGAACATCATCCTATACGCACCATCGCGTGACTTTGAGCCCGAATCGCCCGGAGTGTAGGAGTCCTGCTGGCCTTTGCCTGTTGTTCTCTCGGGAGTATCGCGTCTACCAGAGGAGGTACGGGCCTGTCGGCGAGTGATACCGCTCCGAATGCGCCGGATTTCCTCAACATCATGAATACCGTCCGGTTTTTTCTTGAAAAGGAATTGATCCAGATGGCGACCGAGGGACGAAGAGGTGAACGCTTGATGGCAATACTGGCATTTCCGATCCTTCAAGGCCGGATTCTTCGCGGCACTCGAGGCGGCATTGTGATCATCACCGCCGGCAGAGCCTTCGGGGGTTTCTGTCGGACGAGAAGACGCGCCTTCTTCCATGTTTCACGAGGACGCGGGGGTCAAGCCAGGGAGAGAGACGTTGTGAAGATGGTAACACTTGGAGGGACGCGTTCTATGGAGAGAGTAGAAAGAGCTATCACTGGGTTGCTGCAGCTCAATGCATGACCATAGGGGGTTGGAGAAGCTGCGTCAATCAAGAGAGAGGACACAGTGGTGTGGAATGGCGTCGGGAACGCAGTAAGAGCTGCAGATTGACAGGCAAGGAAGAAGGGGAGGGGAAAGAATTACACGAGGGAAAAGTGAGGAGAGGAACGTGACGATCGAGCAAGAACCGCCAAGCTTCGGTCTGTGGGGATCAAGAGCCTCTGGTTCTCGCCCGCCGCTTTGACAGATTCACTCTCTCGATCCAGGAGCTTTCTGATATAGAGAGAGCTCTGAGATTCTGAGTATCGACTGGTTTGTAACATGTTTCAGGCGTACTCAGAAAACCCAAGCTGTGCTGCAATGTGTGTGGGGATCCATCGGTTCTCACTACGAATCCATGGGTACCATAGTCTTTCTATTCGTAGGGAATGTTGATCTTTCTTCCGCGGTTGATGTAGGTCCTACAAGGGAGTAGTAACCTATCTACGACGAGAAGAGAGAAGTAGGATGAAGCAATGAAAAAGCAACAACAGACATTGGGACATGAAACACGATGCTCCAGCAAAGGTATTAAAAGTAGTAAGCGCTTGATTGTATTTTGGAATATATAACACATTTTACTGCCTCTTTCAACAAGTAATCCGATATGGTGTAGTGGCTAACATCGCCGTCTCTCACACGGCAGCCGGGGGTTCGATTCCCCCTATCGGAGCTCAAACATTTCTTTTTCTTTTTGCTCAGATGATTGATGTTTTGCACCTACGATTACAGTGCGTCCAGTATATCGTTTTTCTCTTGATTCGCTCTTTGTGGACCTATTTTTCTTTTGAAGTAGTTCGCAGATATTGAGTACCTCCGATCTCCCTTGATACACTTCATAGTGGTAGCAAATACCATAACGGCACACCGCGATGACTTCGCGCGGATGCACATGTCAATCAGTACCAAGTATATATTTCCGCCGATATCTTCCCAACAGTCAATATTTCCATCGTCCTAGTTTTCCACTATTATACACTTATCTTGGACCGACCCTTAACATACAGTAGTAGTACATCCACAAAGCCGACCCCAAGATTTCCTAATGTGTTGGTAGTTCGCTCGGCCTCCAAACCCCTGACGACGCTAACTACACTGATCCAATTAATGCCCCATAGCCCCAACTTCTACACCGTAGAGATCGTCAAGTTCGACCGCATATCATCATTGCTTGATCGCTGCAGCGTAACAGTGCTACTTCTATCCAATCATACATACTTCATAATAGCAGGCCACTATCCGATAAACTAGCCATACAGAGCAGCCAAGACAAGAAGGCAAGATACGAGCAACCAACCACACGGGAACGACCAGTTTCGTCACATCTACACAATTGAGTCGTTACTAGTTAGTATCCCATCACATCCGGCCATTGTAGAAGCGGCGAGGGCTTTTTTGCAAAGCAAAACCTCCCCGCCTCACTTGTTCCAAGGAACATGGTGAATGTCTCGTGTTCAGTGACCAACCATTGGCGGAGTCATCGGGGCATGGATTGATTCCATCCTGTTGTAGTCTAGTAGGGAACAAGTCTCGGTTTCAACCCCGGGTTGAATATAGTTTGGCCGTGGCAAAGCTAGTATGGATAGATCGGCGGGCACATCAAGAGCTTATCGGGTGTGTCGGAAATGCCATAATATAATGGATGTAATTAGTCGCCCCTAGATCTCCGAATGAATCCCGCCGCCAATTTCTTCCTCTAAAACATGTAGAGTATGAGCTGAGCTGAATTTAAGGATATCACATTACACCTGTAAGATTTGCATGTTAATGTACAAGAAAAAAGAAAGAAAATACATCTCTGGAGGAACCGAAGATGGGAGTGCCGAGACGTCTCTTTTTTGTTCGCCTCCGACAAAAGCAGAAATACACAAGGATGCAAGGCTGTGCAATCCAAAATCGCCGGCAAAACCCTTTTTTCTCAAAAACACATCTTTTAAGAGAAGGGATCGAAGCATGAATCGAAAACCTCTATACCATGCATCCTGAAATGATATGACCCAGCCAACACCAGAGAAGAGAGACACGAGAGAGGAATATAAATAATATGGCAATATTGCTGACAACGTCGGGGAAATCGTAGGTCTTAACGTGAAGCGATTGGTAAATTAAGCGACAGCCTTGTCGCCGGACGGAGGGGCAGGAGGAAGCTAAAGTAGTGGCAAGTCAGTACTCAATAAGCTTCAGCAATGAGGTGTAGCCTTTGCAGGTCGAGTGGCCACACGACATCAGAGACGAATGTGGGATATGATCTCACCTCTAGTTTTGTGTTGTCGGCCATCATTCTCTGGAAACCGATACCGACACCCTCAATGACAGCCAGGAAGACAGCGCACATGATAGCGGAGTTTCTGGCAGCCTTAACACCACCACGAACGGCCAAAGCACCACCAGTGAAGAAACCAGCAATGACTGCAAAGTGTAAATCGTTAGCTATGATACCCAATCTCAAAGCGCATAGAAACAAGATAGCCACCCCTCACGGATCGACCGGGAAACATACTAGCATTGTAAGGATCTTCCTTCTTTCTGATACCCTTGATCGCACAGTCGAACGTCGAGAACATACCACCCCAAACACCGAAGTTACCACCGAGAACAGGCGCACGAGCCTTGATGGCTGTGATGGCACCTATCCGGCGCTCTCCGTAGGGGCTGTTTCTGAAACCCTTCACACCGTGCCAGACAGCACCACCAATTGCCTATAGACACAACATATGTTTAGTTTTGACCCATTGGTGACAAGCACAATCGATTGGAATCAGTGACGTACACCCATGCAGAAAGCACCACCGAAGTCGCTAAGAGCAACCCAGGGGCAGGGATCTCTGGAGTGATCCATTTCGAATATGAAGAAAGAAGAGAGGACCGGAGAAGAAGGAGGGAGGCGAGTGGAGTCGTAAGCTCGAAGACCTGCTGTACTGGTCGAGCTGCACGGATCAAAGGAAGTGTAGGTCGATGGAAGGTGACTCTAAGGTTATCCGGACGAGGGTCGGAACGCTGGGTATGAAATAATCGGTAGTCGGATGATGAGCCTCAAGGGGCAATCGGGATGGGATGGAGGAGTTGAAGTCAGAATGACAAGCTGGAGGCTGTCTTTAAAGAACAAAGTCTGGGGTCCGGGACGGAGAGGATGGCGGATCGCGACAGTAAGTTTTTGGCTTTTTTCGCCGGGAAACGTGACTTCGGACGGGGGTCGCAGTCACGTGCAGATAACCACCCGAAATGTCCCATCCGGGCATCCAAACAGACCGCGCCCTGGTTTTCGTGGCTGTGGCAAGGGCCTCTAGACGCCGGGAGTACAATAAAAGAAAAAGTAAGCAGGGATATGCAGGTTAAAGTTTTCCTGTGCTTTGCTTAGCGGAAAAGACGGCTCATGCCATGAAAAAGAACAATGGCTATTATGATATCCAGGAGTGATCCAGCACTCCCTGGACCTGCTAATTACAAGATTGCTACGACGGCAGATTCCAGATGAAATTCAATGCTCCTCCTTCATATGCTGGGAATTGTCCACCAGTGCTGATACCGAAAGGTGCCATCGACGGATCAAACGGCAACGAAAGCCAGTCGTCGGCGGCGATGCCGCTCAATGATGGAATGTAGCTCACGTCTGTCATATTTTGCGAGACAGGGACGCCCATAATAGCGCCATTGTCGCTTTCCATGCTCTGAGAAGGCGCCATAGATGGCTGTGTTGTTGCTCTATGGTTGTGCCTTACCGATTTGGAAGAAGCTAGCAGGTTGCGTCTTAAGCGTGACACGTGCATCTCTAGTAGAGCAGCATACCGAGAGCTCAGATGAATGTCATCGAGCGCATTAGACTTAAGCGCCTGCACGCTACGATCAAGAATGTCCAGCGATTCACGGAGCTTTGCAGGCCGGGTACCTAAACTAAGAGCTTTCATCAGGAAAATGGAGGAACTGGTGACTCGAAGGAAGATTCGGACGGGGGAGAACCGCAGGGCCCCGGTTTCACCCAGTTGGGCCACTTTTTGTAGTATTTGACAGCAGCCTTCAATGACCTCTTGGATGTACTCATAGTCGATTGGATCAATATTGGTGGCCCGGACTTCTTCCGCATTTGGTTCACTGTCTGCAACGGCACGTTCAACAACTGCCTGCATCCCAACTGAGTGGGTATAGACGCGGACAAAATGATATTCTATAAAAAGGATATCGAAAAAGTGCTTGCTGAGTACTAAAAGGAGTTAGCATAAATCAACAATCGTATGCGGAAAAGACCACCTAATTCAAAGGGACGATGCCTTACCCTGTGGCCGAAGATGATCATCTTTCCACCTGACAAGTAGCGTACGGAAGTGATCCAACAGATCGATGTACCTCCCACTATGGAACTGCTGTCTCGCAAACGACACGGAAGGAAAGAACGTGTCAGTGACAGATTTTGCTAGCTTTGTAAGGTCCATCCAGGAATCCATAAACGCTAGCCATTCGTCCCCTGGTTGGCCCAAAGTCCTGCTTGTCTGTCGACCTGCAATAGCATGGCTTAAGCTCTGTGGCATAAGTGATACACAACCTATTCGCCAGGCTAGCTGATTGATATATACGTATAAAAGCCGTTGTACGCGCTGCCTGCGGAGCTTAATTTGGTCATCGGATATGGACCCTTCATATACGGATGAGTAGTCGCATTTCTTGTCATCCAGCTCGAAGATACCGAGTTCATGTGCAAGCGATAAAGCAGAGCCAAGCAACATCCACGACATTTGGTCGGATCTCTTGGCTGGCTCGATCATGTCTTCGAGCCACCTATCGGCCGATGAACCTTCCGATTCTTGGTGCTCTGGGGCCAGCACCAGGTCGGAATCCCATCCGTCACTTTCCGGGGGAAAGTGGAGAGACCTAGGATGCCATTCTGACATCAATAAGAGGGCCTCAATTGTGCCGATGCTCCTTATTCGAGTGTGAGACGACTTCTCCTGACCAAAAATTAGTCGCACCACCAGCTGCTGGCAATGCTGCCAGAGTCGGTGGTGAATAAAGAAGTTCCTTGATTCGCCGCCAGCCCCTGGCAATACATGGTATCGCGATGAAAGCATCAATATCGTACAGCATAAGACAGGGTCCCGTGTCACAAGCCAGTGGTGATTATTGTGGTCCGCATAAAAGTTTGTTAGGATAGGAGATAGCGGCGTCATATTCTTGAAGAACCTGACCTTGTCAGAGAATTTTAGAAGAAAATCAAAATATTGGCACTAACTGGTCGATCAATGTGACGGCTTCTCTTGAAGTGAACCACCCCATCTTGACAAAGCGACAAGTCTCCCAAACACCGAGGACCTCTTTCGAAACAGAGGAAAGTTTGACTGGACGCTTCGCCTTGGCTATGGCCTCAGCAGCAAACATAGTCTGCGCATGATCACCGGAGTGGTCCACGTCGCTGGCCTGTGCAGTGGAGGCCTGTGTATTTCGAGATTGTTTCTCAGATCGATCGGAGCTGTTCTCTTGGCTGTGAACCGCTGCCGCTTCGAAGAGAATATTAAGTGCATCGTTTCCACTAGATACCACGGTACGCATCATGGAGTTTGCCAAGGTAGACGTGGAGTGATGACGGTCACGGCGGTTCTCAGGACGATATGGCTGCTGCGGGCTGTTATAGCTATCCCCACGTTTGCCATTGTCACGAACTGGGCTGTCATCAACCACCTGAAGTACATCGTCCGGAATATCTCTGCTACGTTTGGGGGTGGCTGATAGCCTCCGACGTACATTTGAAGGTGGCGTGATGCCTTCTTCTGATGGACCTACTGGGCGTCAGCCATCCTGATCGTTAGCAATGCCGGAAGGGGTTGACATCGCGCACCTCGCTTGTTTGTCCTCTCCCACGCCCTCTTTTCACTGAACACACACTCCCTCTGCTCTCTACGACATTTTGCACAGGGCGGCCCTAACGGGAGACCCTCCGAGTCTGTTCCCAGATCGCATTTTGCCTTTCTCTGACGACAGGAGAGACAGGCCTTGTAGGTCCGCTGGTATGCCCGGTTCAAGGCGTCTCCGCTGCGGAACGGCCCCCTAACTTCCATTACTGAGAACGTAGCGGCCCGGCCAATAGCATCTTAGTGATAAGATTGAGGTTGCAATAAAGAGACCCGGATATTTGGCTGGCTAGAAAGGGGCTGGATGTGACGGGTATCAAAGGCTTATTGGGAGCGGATATTGCAGGTGGGAAAGGAAGAAAGGGGGGATTTAGGTGGGGAGCTACAAAATACCCGCCGATTGCCGCGGCGGAGGTCGCCTGGAAGTATCCGAGCCCATTCACCAAGCCGGGCGAAGGACAGAGATATGACAGCTGACCTCGTACTCTCCTCCGTGGGATACGAACCATTGGACAGCTGAACGTAGCTGAGATTCCAATTGCGATAACAAGGTCGAAATGGTGTCAAAGATGGTCGGTATTTGCTGCTCGTGGTGTCATCGAGAGCTGCTACGGGGTTGTCCGTATACGCTGCATGTTATGTCATCGTCTGCACAAACCAGCACCATCCTGGTTATCAGACTTTATGTTGAATGCGACGCTGTATGCCAGGGGTATACCAAACCCACAGTTTTGGCTCTCTGGGAACCAAGATTTTAGTTTTTGTCTAGAACAAATCTTCGAACCAGGCAAACATAGACTGCCGTGACGTCAACTCAGCCCAAGAAACGAGCAGCTCCTTCGGGACCCGGCAGGCCCCCCACCCCTCCCTTCACAAGAAGAGGATTCAGTGTTGGAAAATCCGATTCACACTATTATGCCCATGAATAACCTTGTCCAACCCGGCAGTATGGACAAAGTGACTCCTCGGGAAGACGCGGCAACCCACGCGCGTCGCTCCCTGCTCGGGCCACCGCTACGGAACGCTTCCGCAGTATACGAAGGGCAGATGCATATGATTCTAACCACCACAACGAATATACTGAATATATTCATTTTCACCCCCAGTAGTACGGACAACGTGTTGAAAAGTATGATCACATGCAGGTACTGTACCACACACACCCCGCAACGGTCCAAGCCCTCCGCACCTCCGCTGTAAATTAAAACGTAGAATAGTAGTAGCTGTCACCCATATAACCCACATACTAGCCTACTAGCTATACTATACTACAGCTCTCTCCATACACTACAAACCACCACACAAGCCTACAAACTACGCTCTACATAGTCTACCAATCCACACTACCCATCTGCAAATCTACAAAACCAAAATGCCCGAACAAACCATAACCCTGCACACCTACTTCCGCTCCTCCTGCTCCGCGCGCCTCCGCATCGCCCTCAACCTAAAATCCCTCCCCTACACCTCCATCCCCATCAACCTACTCAAAAACGAACACCACCAGAGCCAAAACACGACCCTAAACCCCTCCGCCAGCGTGCCCACCCTCATCATCGAAAACCCCGATGGAAAAACAATCATAATCCCCCAATCCCTCGCCGCGCTCGAATACCTCGAAGAAACCCACCCCCAAGCGCACCCCCTCCTCCCACCACTCTCCGACCCCACCGCGCGCGCAACAGTCCGCACCCTCTCCAGCATCATCGCCTGCGACGTGCAGCCGGTCACGAACATGCGGATCCTGAAGCGGGTGGCGCCGCTCGGTGTGGACAGGGAAACATGGTCGAAGGATTTAGTGGAGGATGGGTTCCGGGCGTACGAGGCTATTGCGGAGAAAACGGCAGGAAAATATAGTGTTGGAGATGAGATTACCTTGGCGGATGTATGTCTTTTGCCTGCTGTTTGGGGGGCGGAGAGGGTAGGTGTGGATTTGGGGAATTTTCCGGTTATTAAGGGGGTAAGGGAGAGGCTGGAAGAGGTGGAGGCTGTGAAGAGGGCGCATTGGAGATGTCAGGGCGATACGCCGGAGGAGTTTAGGGTTGGTGATAGGCAGTAAGGCAAGGGTGGGATGAAATGATGGAGGGTTGGTTTTTGTTTGGTTTGGGGGGGTAGTAGGTAGATAAGTTTCAGTTGGTTTCATGGTTTTTGTCCTAACTATGTGGGTTTGGATTGACTTTCAGTATAGGGCGGGTTTGGTGGGTCTGAATCTGGATGTTACGCCTACAGTTTGACTTGACTCCGTGGCTCCGCGGACTAACAGGGAAGAAGAACGTTCTGGACCACGTTTTCTCTTTTGGCATGTAGCATCTCATTGTTAGGTTCACATTCACATCATATCATATCAATGCATACAATGGGCTTTGGGGACTCATGACGTGCGATCGTGCGATAAGGGACTTGCAATTCGAAATGCAAACTGCAATCAGTCTAGAATTCCAACTTCACCGCGGGGAGAATAGTGGCACTGCAATCGCCGAATCCGACGTAGTTGCCTTCTGTGCCCGCCTTGCCCCTAAGGACGACGGTGTCTCCATCTTCGAGGAATATCCGTTCCGAGCCATCGGCCAGTTTGAGAGGCTCCTTGCCCTTTGTCTGCTCGAACAAGCTGCCTTGTGTCTGGGGCTCTGTACCAGAGATGGTTCCACTACCGAGCAAGTCACCGGGCCGGAGGTTGCATCCCGTGATGGTGTGGTGGGCCAGCATCTGAGGGAAGGAAAACAAGAGGTTCTTGGCGTTGCTTCGCGAGACGATTGTAGGCTGGCCGCCTTGGTTGGTGATTTCGAATTCGAGGGGTATGTCGAAGACGTTGTCGGTGCGCTTCTCGCGCAGGTAAGGCAGGACATTTTCCCGATTTTCGGGCTCCAGGCTGGGGACTCGGAAGGGTTCTAGAGCATCGATCAGGACAACCCAGGGGGTGATGGTAGTTGCAAAGTTCTTGGCGTTGAAAGGTCCCAGGGGAACGTATTCCCAGGCCTGGATGTCACGAGCGGACCAGTCGTTCATGAGCACCAAGCCGAAAATGTGGTCTTCGGCATTGTTGACAGAGACGGGCTTGCCCATGTCATTGGGGGTGCTGACAAAAGCAGCCATTTCTAGTTCAATGTCGAGTCTCTTGCAAGGAGAGAAGATAGGGACTTTGGGAGTTGCGGTAGGGTTGGCCAGGATCTGACCGTTGGGACGGTGAATGGGGGTGCCTGAGACCACGATGGACGAGGCGCGACCGTGGTATGCGACTGGCAGGTGCTTGTAGTTAGGTTGCAGAGCATTGTCTGGTCCACGAAGCAAGACACTCAGGTTGTAGGCGTGGTTGAGGCCGGCATAGAAATCTGTGTAGTCTCCGATTTGCATGGGAAGATGGTTGGTCACCTCCGATAGCGGCAGGAGAGCCAACTTTTGGAGGGACTCATTGTCTTTCAAGACCTGAGGGTAAGGAGTATCGGCGCGAAAAACGGACTGGATGTACTCGCGGACTTGACGGTGAACTGGTCGGCCCAGAGCTGCAAAGGCATTGAGGGTGGGCTGATTGAACACGTTCAAATGGGGCTGGATCGCGGGCAGCTGGGAGAAGCCCCCGGATGAAGCAAAAGCGTTCAGGTTCAGCGCATAGTCACCGATAGCAATAGCTGCTACGCGCGATGGAGCTTTCGCCGAGGTGATGATACCGAATGGAATGTTTGCCAGCGAGAAAGGCGAGTTCTTGGGGATCTGCAGCCAGGAAGCCATAATGAGGGAGGACGCGGTTAAGGACGGGAGAATATGAAAGAAAGAAAGTAAACGCAAGTAGTCTGTAGCTATCCAGCAGCAGCACCGGAGACACAACTGCGATGCCGACGTTAAAAATGAATCCAGTGACAAGTGCCCCTCGAGGGATTCCGATGGAGGAGAGGAGGGCAGCGGAATGCACTCCGCGCCCGCTTATTGCCGGCCGGCGCGGGCAGTTCAGCTTCCCCGCCGGCCCCAATTCCGCACCCCCGCAGATCCCCGGTTTTCCTGTTTTGTTCCAGGAACACCGAATCCCGCGAATCTCCTGAAAATTGAATGGGCTTTTGATGGTCTGCCGATGGCGCATTCCAGTCCCGTGCTGCCCCCGCCACCCAGGCACATGACCAGGGGAGAGCGTGCAGGTTGTACAAGCTAATTCACACTTATATAACCTCCTTGGCTCAGGAGTGCTTGTGCAGTTAAACGGTCACCAAGACTGAAGCACTGAACCACTACCCACCATGCCCGTGACTAACTTCAAACACGCTGACCCATATTCCTACCAGAACGGCTTTGACTCGTACCATGAGTGAGTACATGAAGAAAGATGTCCGGGTGGCGCCTGTCGATTGTTAAGTCTGATTGATCCCTACTACTAGGTCGGAGGCTGTCAAGGGAGCTCTGCCTATAGGTCAGAACTCGCCACAGAAGGTGCCGTATGGGCTCTATGCCGAGAAGCTCTCGGGAACCGCTTTCACTGCCCCTAGACATGAGAACAGACAGACTTGGGTCTACCGCATCCTCCCCGCGGCTGCTCACCAGAATTTCGTGGCTGAAGATGGCGACTCATACCACACTCATATGACCACTGAAACACAGAAGCTTCATCACATCCCCAACCAGCTTCGGTGGGACCCCTTCGACTTGGATGAAACTGTGGACTGGGTTCACGGTCTTCACCTTGTTGCTGGTGCCGGAGATCCCACTCTCAAACATGGCCTGGGCATAATTTTATACGCTGCGGGCAAAGACATGGGAAAGGAAGCCTTCTACTCCGCTGACGGCGACTTTTTGATCGTGCCGCAGCACGGTGTGCTAGACATCCAGACTGAATTGGGACGCCTCCTGGTCCGGCCCAATGAAATCTGCGTAATTCCCCGCGGTGTGAGGTGAGAACCGATATTTCCATGTTGTGCCTGCATGCCTCGACTAATGACTTACAAGATACCGTGTGACTCTTCCGGCAGGACCGGTGAGAGGATACATCTGTGAGCTCTACCAGGGCCACTACCAGCTTCCCGAATTGGGGCCCATCGGATCCAACTGCCTTGCCAACGCGCGAGACTTCCAAGCGCCAGTGGCCTTCTTTGAAGACGAGGAAGAGCCATCCGAATACCGTCTGTACAGCAAGTTCAACAATACGCTCTTCTCCGCCCGTCAGAACCACACCCCCTTCGACATTGTTGCCTGGCACGGAAACTACTATCCTTACAAGTACGATTTGGGCCGTTTCAACACGATCGGCTCTATTTCTTTCGACCACCCGGACCCGTCCATCTTCACCGTGCTCACTGGCCCGTCCGATCACAACGGCACTGCCATTGCCGATTTCGTTATCTTCCCGCCCCGCTGGCTGGTGGCGGAGAACACATTCCGCCCGCCATGGTATCACCGCAACACCATGTCCGAATTTATGGGATTGATCTGCGGTGGTTATGATGCCAAGACTGGTGGAGGCTTTCAGCCGGCGGGCGCCAGTCTACACAACGTCATGAGCGCCCACGGTCCGGACAAGGACGCCTTTGAAGGTGCCAGTAATGCTGATTTGAAGCCGCAAAAGGTTGGCGATGGCAGCATGGCTTTTATGTTTGAGAGGTAAGCAAACTCTTTTCCTTTAAGCCGACATTCACTAACACCATAACTAGCTGTCTCATGGTTGGCGTGTCTGAATGGGGCCTGAAGACCTGTCAGAAGGTGCAAGAACAATACAATGCGCACAGCTGGCAACCGCTGCAGAGGCATTTCCGGAACCCGAACAATTCCGTGGACACAATGTGCAAGGACGACCATTAAACACCGATCCGACGAAGTTACTAAAAACGAAGGTGATCTTTCAGATACCTATGTAGTAGTTGTATTCAATCATAGCCGAATGGAAAATCTTAAACATCTATCCGCATTCATCTGGGTATGTGAGACAAACTGACAAATTGTAAGACACAAATGTAACAAGCATCCAAAGGAGAAAAGCACACTCCCAAAGCACCTAAACCAGCTTAATTACAGCAAATACATCAGATCTTAACCACACCATCACCCACCACCTCCTTCCTCAACGCCTCCTTCACAATCGCCCCACACATCTTCGCATACGGATTCGTCTGTACAGCCAACTGCTGTGCAACCTTATTCCCATACCTGCCCCCGAAAAAGAAATCCCGACTAGCCATATCCTCCAACTGCTCCGGCTCCACGACACGCAACTGATCCGGACCACCAATCACTTCCTGCTTTCTCTCCTTCTTCACTCTCGCCGCTTTGAGCAGCAAATACCCGCGATGCGTATGCGCATCAGCCAATAAGCGCGCCTGGACCGACGAAACTGGATCAGCAGGTGATCTGGGCGTCGCCAACGTAATAGCATTCCCCAGGTCTGCTAGTAACGTGGATGCGGGCTGTGTGTTCTCGGGGTCAAAGATCTTGTCATCGTCATTCTCATCACCACTACTCTCGGTGGTAGTCTTGGTCTTGTCAATGAGGATACGAAGAGTTTGGGCGCGGTTGACATATGCGGATGGGTAGGTTGGATGTTCGGCGATAAGGGTGTCGAGATCCTTGATTGCTTGTTGGATTGTTGGAATGTCCAAGGTGGTTTCGGATTGCAGGGTGCGGATTATAGAGACCTCGCGGGATTGGAGGGTCTGCAAAAGTTCTGGGGTAATGTTGAGGTGAGATGGATATGCGGGGAGAGAAGAGTTGATGGTGATGGAGTTGGAGGGGGAGGATTCGGCGTCGAAGAGAGCTTGGAGGACGGCGGAGTCATTGGTGGTAAGGTTGGGTTTAGCGGTTGGATTCGGGGTCATTTTGCTTATCGCCTTTGGAGGAACTTCCGATATTGAGTTATTTGAGGCTTTGGGGACGTATATTGTTTTGAAGGGGATGTAGCTGATAATAAGGTAGTGTCTGTAGTGAGAATGCTTGCTATCGGTGACACCGAGTTTGGAGAACAATCGTTGGTATTTGAGTTAACCTACGATCATCGGTAGCCCGCGGAGCCATGTGAGCGGAGCTTATCAGAGCCTATCTTATAACAGGATCCAAAATCAGGGGCCGTGGCAATCACCGCATGCATCAGGAGTGGGTGTTCTCATGATGTAAACGAGGCAGCGGATATTCCGCGGGAGTCGAAATACCCGCCGACAGCCGGGCTTGTCCGGGGTCAACCGACGACATCCGGCCCGGCTGGTTTACTATCCTGGCGTCCTGCAAACTGCCTGTGCTTGCTTATCCTCTACTCTTTCCCAAAACAATGTAATTATGATTCATGGCCGATTCACTGGGTTCGTCTTCTGGAAACGGACCCTCCCGATAACTATTGACAGTGTCAGGAGGCCCGCCGTCATCCGGACTTATAAAGATGGTCCTGGTACCCCCTTTCACCTCTCTGGAAGTAGACCCAAGATAGCCAGGCGCATCCACCTTTATGATACTTAATAGTCTTCTTTGACATCTCCCTTCTATACCCAAGTATTATAGAATCTCTTTGCTGTTTTTCATACAACATACAACTCCATCACCATGGCACCCAGCGCAATCTCCTCTCCTCCCTCCCCTCAACCAGCAACCACCTCCGACATCTCCAGCTATAAGGGGTATGACCACGTCCACTGGTACGTCGGCAACGCCAAAATCACCGCCTCATATTATGTTACGCGCATGGGCTTCAAGCGGGTCGCATACCGCGGCCTCGAAACTGGCAGCCGTGCCATCTGCTCCCACGTCGTCCGCAACGGCGACATCACCTTTGTCCTGACCTCCCCTCTCCGCTCCCTCGACCAAATGGACCTCCTCACCCCCGAAGAGCAGAAGGAGCTCCGTGAGATTCACGAGCACCTCGAACAACACGGTGACGGCGTCAAGGACGTCTCCTTCGAAGTTGACTCCGTCGACGCAGTATATCAAGCTGCCGTGGCCAACGGCGCCAAGATAGTGTCTGCGCCACGCAGCCTCGAAGACAACAATGGATACGTGCGGGTTGCGACTATCCAGACGTATGGAGAGACTACCCACACCCTCCTGGAGCGCAAGTCATATTCTGGCGCGTTCATGCCAGGATATCGATACGAGGACGGGGCCGAGGACCCGATCACGAAGTATTTGCCCGGCGTATATCTGAACCGTGTCGATCACTGCGTCGGTAACCAGGACTGGGATGAGATGGACCGTGTCTGCCAATAGTATGTTAACCACCTGATCGTTCACAGGGGAGTTGCTGACCATAATGTAACAGTTACGAGAAGGCTCTTGGCTTCCACCGTTTCTGGTCTGTCGACGACAAGGATATCTGCACGTGGGTGTTCCCCTACCAGTTACCCAATTCTACAGCAGAAAACTTACGAGATGATAGTGAATACTCCGCCCTCAAGTCCATCGTCATGGCCTCTCCCAACGAAGTTGTCAAAATGCCCATCAACGAGCCCGCCGTCGGCAAGAAGAAGTCCCAGATCGAAGAATACGTGGACTACTACAACGGCGCCGGTGTGCAGCACATTGCACTCCTGACCGACGATATCATTCGGGACATCACCAACCTCAAGGCACGCGGAGTTGAATTCATCAAGGTCCCTGACACGTATTACGAGGACATCAAGATCCGGCTCAAGAAGACCGGCCTGGTTCTTCACGAGGACTTTGAGACCATCCGCAACCTTGACATCCTCATCGATTTTGATGAGGGCGGGTACTTGCTCCAGCTTTTCACTAAGGTATGTGCACCGTTCTCCCCACTTATAAATTTATTCAACGCAAATACTAATGAATATGATATAGCACCTAATGGACCGCCCAACCGTCTTCATCGAAATCATCCAACGCCACAACTTCAGCGGCTTCGGTGCCGGCAACTTCAAGTCGCTGTTCGAGGCGCTTGAGAGGGAACAGGCCCTGCGCGGTAATCTGGTCTAACTTTTTTTATCTTCTCAGTACAGAACTGCAAGACAGTTACTTGAAAGTGATAGTGTACATTCGGCCAGGTTGCCAAGTACATGATTAATGTTTGTCTTCTTTATGTTCTTCTTGATTTGGATATGCTAGTGCTGGTCTGGACTAGTCGGAACCAAACAAGTAGTAGTACTTCAGGTAAAGAACGATTTGGGATACTGTATAACCAATCCGTTATTTATCGAGTCTTGGTTTATTCTATCTATTAGGATGATTGGAATAATAGGAAGTACCTTGAGAACATATATCTTTATGCATGATTCTTTATCTCTATGTAAAACATAACGTAATATGGTCAGTAAGTTGGGATGATCATGGGATCCCTAACTGTATGCATGCCCTCTCGAGCCATGTACAACCCCACAAGACGGTCTTAAAAACATTTCATTTCCTTTATATAGACAAAGAAAGCTATTCTCTTCAACAAGAATCCGATATGGTGTAGTGGCTAACATCGCCGTCTCTCACACGGCAGCCGGGGGTTCGATTCCCCCTATCGGAGCTTAATCTTTTCTTTTTTTTTGTTTTTCTTCTTCTCTATGTTTGATTCAAGGTCCTAGCTAGGTAGTGATATTGCCTCCACGTTATTTTAATTTTTGGGAGGTGACTTGGTTGGGGGCTGTCGTTGCTCTTGTCTGGGAAGAAGGAACCTGGAGATTGGGATGGCTTGGAGGCTATCTTCCGTGCTGTTGTGCTCCTCTGGTGGATACTATACAGTTTTTCTTCCTATCTTATCGGGTGGTTGACAACTAATCATGTATTGCTAGGGCTGTCGAGCGGGCGATATTGCCTGGTCTACTGAGGCAAAGCTCAGCTGGGACGGATGCCTGTCTGTTCAAGGTGATTCCACACCTTATTATTTGCTGTTTACGCTTCATAGTGTGGTTTTATGGAACTTCTGCGGGGGAGATATGTGTTTCCCACGTGGGAATATATTTTCATTCATTCGTGTCGCTAGTGTTCTACTTCTTCGAGGAACTGGCACCGCCTGGTGTCGTTCCCCCGCGTCGCTTATATTTCCGTGGATCTGTATAGATTGTCAGCCATCTGTGAAACGGATACACATCAGGATTCAGACATACCCTTACGACTCATCAGTACTCTGTTCCTCGTTCCCTTTCCGCCTTCCCAGAATCCGCTTCCAGCTTTCCCAATTAGCACAGCTCGACATATTCCGCAGTTTTCGGGACGGTAGATTTGCTCTCGCGAGCAGAAGCCGCTATATTCATTAGAATCACTTTGTTGACTATGTCACGATTAAGGGCACATACCAAATCATACGATTAGCATGCTCATTGGGATGGTCTGTAGCGGCATCGTGGCATCTGCTTATATTAGCTTTGTTATAGGAAGCGCGCATGGTGTTCTCGTACTTATCGCAAGGGAAGACCTTCGCACAGCAGCTGAATCTGTTGCAATGTTAGAGTACGTCAAAAAGGCACCTGCACGATGGGTTTTACCTGAACCACCGATAACTCTTGCCATAGTGCGTACAGCGGCCACGACGAGGCAATTCTTGACCAGCAACGATTCCGAGGACTTCCTTGGGCTGCCGATAGCGATTAGTGTAATTCAGATAAGAAAAGTGTGTAGCAGATTACCTTCTTCCGTGGAGGCTCGCGGAAACGAGATGAATCTATTGGATAGCAATCAGCATTCTGCCAATATTCATTATATGGAGAACTCACATGCTGCCGATCCCACTTTCAGAAACTTGACTTCTGGAATTTTCATGACTGTAGTTGTGAGCGGTTGGTCCTCATTAAGGTAATTCCACACATACCCATTTTGCGGTGACATTGTCGGCAATTGGCCATGGCACTTTCGCCTCGAACTGCAACGACACCGGGCGCGGGAAACGCTGTTGAGCATTCCGCACAGGTTGGGATAAAGCTACTGCGGAGGTTGTCAGCGTATGGCTACAATGCAAAAGCTGCCGTCAGATCCAACCTACCTAGGCAGAAGATCTACGACTGTGCATCCATCCAAGTCAAGGTAACCCGCACGAGTGGCGCTAGGATGCATAAGCTGTCGACGGAACCCTAGGTGTGTGTCAATACCCAATACTTTGAATACCAGAATTGAAGTACCTACCAAGGCTCATGGTATTCGCGCATTTCTTGCAGGTCTCGATCTTAGGAGACAGCTCATCGCTCTTGTCCTTGATCTGTGGGATATTCCTGACATCCAATGGCTCCTTGCATCGATCGCATTTGATGGTTATGTAGAGACCTACGAGCTCTAAGAGCTCAATCCCGTAAAGCTCCAAAAAAGGGAAAGAGAGGGCGACTCCACGCTCGGTCGTCGTAGGCGCCGGGAGATCCGGGACGGGAGCACCGCCTTCCTCCTCATCGTCGTCAGAAAACTCATCCTCAGACGGAGTCATGTCTGAGTCGTCAGTGCCACCACCGTCTTCGCCCACAGCCCATTCAGGAGGGCGGGGCACAACGTGAACATGTGGCTTATCCTCCAATGTCACCCCTTCTGCTTGAGATGGAGGCTCGCTGGGTACTATAACATCAGATACCGCAGGCGCAGGAGCTGGTTCAGGGGCTTTCAGCGGCGTTTTGGCGAATTTATGCATATTGCTTGTCAAGTAGTTCACTTGAGACACAAGATTCAACTGTTTGTTCCCTTCAAGCCACTGCGAGAAGCCAGCTTCCACAGCTCGTCCTTCTGGGCTATCAATGCCCTGCAAATGAACAGTACTCGGTTCAAGAGGATACAAGCTAGGCACTAGGAGCTTCACTGTCTTGACAGAGCGAAGAGAAATAGGCAAACGATCTATCTTAGTCGGTTGAATCGGGATGACGAAAGACAGGCCATCGTTGGACTTTTGAAAAAGAGGTAGCCTTCCCAGACGAGCGTCGAGTTGCTTCGTCTCGACTGCTCGTCTTTTCTCCGCCTGAGCCTTCTCTTCCGCGGTGTATACAGGAGCCGGAGGCTTAGGACTCACTTTTTCCACCGGAGCCGGATATGTCTTCTTCCCAGAAGACACAGCTAGAGCACTCATATTTGACACTAGCTTCTGCTCTTCTGACTGCTCTTTGCTGCCCACATTAGGCACAAACTTCAACGTCGGCCCCCGTTCCGTAGTAGTGAGCAAACGTTCCAGATGCCGATCGAGACTGTTCATCCAGCTGAGCAAAGTCCCACGACTACCACTTCTGATAGTGCTGTCGACGATATCATCGAATCCTCTCGAGATATTTTCCTGAAACGCACTGCCCATTTCAGGATTGGTGACTTTGATAGACGGCCGTCCTTGCGCCGGATACGTTCCAGGAACATGCAAAATACACTG